CTGTGGAACACAGTATGGAGATTTCTCCAAAAACTAAAAACAGAACTACCATACAATCCAGCAATCCTATTACTGGGTATCTAACCAAAAGAAAGGAAATCAGTGTATCAAAGGGATACCTGCATTCCCATGTTTATTACAGCACTGTTCCCAACAGCAAAGATAGGAGATCAACCCGTGTGCACGAACAGATGGACGCATAAAGAAAATGTGGTACAGGTACACAAGAGAATACTATTCGGCCAGAAAAAAGAATGAAATCCTGTCATTTGCAGCAACTGGATGAAACTGGAGATGATTATGTTAAGTGAAATAAGCCAAGCACAGAAGAGAAATATCAAATGTTCTCACTCATATGTGGGAGCCTTAAAACTTGATCTCATGGAAGCAGGGAGAGAATGGCAGATACCCAAGACTGGGAAGGGCGTGAGGGTGCGTGGGGAGAATGAAGAGAGGTTGGTTAACACATTAACTGCCATGAGAGTTGTATTTAACTCACTCGAGTTTTGACTCTGGGCCACATGAAGCATACATGAAATGTTACTTGTTGATGTTCTTATTGTTTCAATGAATATTGACAATTTAATTCTAAATACGTGGATTAAATGAATAGAAGTCAAGAAATTTTGTTTTTCTATTTATGTTTACCTTTAAATTACATTCAACATTTTTATTCTATTTTCATAATAAAACACTGTGGCCCCAAGGAAAGGTTTCTGACTTTTTGTGTGTGGCAGTCAATGTGTTAATGGACGCAGTCATGCAGCTAGACAGAAAGAATAAGTTCTCGTGTTAGACAGCAGAGCAGGGTGACTACAGTGAAAAACCATGTATTACATACTTTAAAATAGCTGAAAGAGAGGACCTGAAATATACTCAACACATGGAAATGATAAACACTCGGGCGACAGACACCCTGTACGCCCTGACTCGATCACTGCGCGTGCTATGCGTGTAACAAAATTTCACATGGACCCTGGAAGTACCTACAGATGTGTCAGTGAAAAAGGTCTCAGTGGCTCTGCTGAACAAATGAATGGTGTCCCTCTCAGCACTGGAGCCCAGGGATCTGGGACCTGCGGGCCACATACCTACATACATGACAGTGCCCCGGCGAGGGGACTGCCCAGGCGCCCGCACCTCGCAGCGGCTGCCCACGGAGATGGCGCTGGCTTGGGCCTTCTCCTCCGCCAGGCGCTGGGCGGCCTCGGCCTCCTGCTGCGCCCGCTCCTCTTCATTGTATCGGCCAAGCTTGCTGCGCTTCAGGAAGGAGCGAACTGTGTCTGTTGGCAGGTGGGGGAACGGGGTCAGATGTGGTCTCTGGGGTCGCACCTCTGGCCTAACGAGATAACATTCCACCCACGAGGGGCCCACATTCACAGAGACACTCCCACTCTAGGTGTCAAAGGGCTGTCACTCAAGCCCCCAGGTCTCCCACCACGGGCTCTGCCTTTCCCTAGGACTCCTGGGACCTCCCCACAATCCAGAAACTAAAGGGATGTCGCCTGCCTCCAACCTCCACGTGACCCCATTTTCTCATGTGCCCCTGCAGGCTCACTTTTGTCTTCCTCTGGCCCCCGAAGCCCCTCGCATCTCCACCCTTCATTCTGGTTTTTTTTTGGGGGGTGGACAGAGTCTCGCTCTGTCACCCTGGCTAGAGCGCAGTGGTGTCACTGCAACCACCAACTCCCGGGCTCAAGCGATCCTCCCGCCTCAGCCTCCCAGAGTGCTAGGATGACAGGCGGCGTGAGCCACCATGCCCAGCCCACCCTCCGTTCTGACCTGTCCCCAGGTGCCTGCACTAACTGCGACACTGCCCCGTCCGCGCCATGTTCCATACTTCGTCTGCCCCACCACATCCTGCATCTGACCCTGACTGCTCCCCCAGCCCCCCACCTCTCCCACAAGCCCCTCTCTGCTTTCCCAGGCTCCCCATCTGACTGCCCATCCCCCCCAACTCCCAGCCCCACCTGTACCCACCCCCAGCCTCACCCCAGCCCCCTTCCTCCTTCCAAGCCCTCTGCCCCACTGCCCACACCACCGGCCTCCCTGTAACGGCCCTGTCTGTCCTGCCTGCGCCCCTTCCCGCCCCACATTCCCATTGGCCCCCACGCGTCCGTACCTTGCCTCTGGTCGTAGGCTTCTTGTGAGATCTCGTATTTCTCCACCCTGGCCACGTCCTCGTACTCCCCAAGGCGGGCACCACTGTGGTCAATGACCTGTGGTGAGGGGAGGGAGTCAGCGCGGATCAGGGTCTAGCCCAGGGGCCTGGGGCGCCGGGGTGCAGCTGCTCGCTGCAATGTTCTGTAGACTTAAGCCTCCCCCGTCTTGAAGAAGACACATTCCTCTACCCTCACCTTTACTGTAGCCTCTTCTCCTCTCCTGAGCCCAGAAGGGACAGGAGCAGCTATCTACACCGGCCATCTCCTCTTCCTCACCCACTCCCAGGCTCGTGGAGGCTGACTCTGCCCCCAAAAGTCCCACACATGCTGGCATCAACACCACTGATGGCCCTGAAGTCAATGAACCCAACTGGCAGTGCTCAGGCCTTGCTCACAGCCCTCTGGGAAGTGCATCTATTCTCCCTGGGCCTCTGGGACCCCACTAAGCTGGCCTCCACCTTCAGACCCCAGAGCACCTCTTCCTGTACTATCCCTGGCACCTCCTCCAGGAAGTCCTCCCAGATCTTACTGATGGGTCACATACCCATACCCCAGCATAGGGTCTCCGAGCTCTGTGATCTCCTCCTACATGGCTCTCATCTCCACTGACCCTTCACCTTTGGGCCTTTGATCATTTAGCTAACAGCTACCTCATACACTGGACAGAGCTAACCAGGGACCTTCTCACATGTGCCTCACAACTATATCGCAACACAGATGTTCCACGAACAGTTAATGAATAAATGAAAGAGAGAAAAAAGAACCAGTTCTCAGGGCACACTGACTTCTGGAGTCCTGCAGACTGAGATCAAAACTCTAGTGACAGTTCATCTTTAAGAAAGTAAATTCCATTCTGAAGCTAAGTTTTCTCTTCTGCAAAGTGGGGATAATCACACCACCGTCCCAGCCTTGCTTTACGGATTCAACTCATCATCCAACACTGATTCCCCGAGTATCCTCTCTGTTCCAGATGCTGTTCCAGGTGCTGGGGACACAGCGGTAAACGACACTGAGAAAAATTTCTGCCCTCATGGCACCCTAATTGGGGGGCATGGACAATAAGTGAAGAAGACCAAGGAGAAAAATTCAGAGTGTGTCAGAGGGTGATAAGAGCTAAGGACAAAAATTTAAAATAGAGCAAAAAAGGGAAAAGGCATGAACATGAGGCTAAAACTTCATACTGAGGCCAGTGAAGGCTTCACTAGGAAGGTGGCACTTCAAGTAAAGACTGGAGGGAAGGGGTGAGCCATGCAGGCATATGCAAAAAGAACCATGGAGTATATGCAAAGGCCCTGAGGTGGAGGTCACCTGGGATGTCCAAGGTGCAATGTGGTTGGTACAGAGTGAGTGAGGTGGTGGGAGCATCAGGATAGAAACAAGGACGTGAGCTGATGCACACAGTGGTCTCCCTGTGCTCTGGCTTCTCTCAACCTGTCCAGCCTCATCACTCACCGTGACCTGCCTCACGCTGTATGTAGGTCTGTATACTACTTACTGTTCCCTCCACCTGGCATGCCCTTCCTACCTATTCTCTTATGTCACTCTTTCCTCATCCTTCAGATCTCAGCTCAGACATCCCTTCCTCCAGGAAGCCTTCTCCGATTCTTCCAGGTGGAGTCAAGACACCTCTTCTGGGTACCCCCGTCCCCTGAGCTTTCTGCGTCCCAGCCCAGACCACACAGGGCTGTCACTATCTAGTGATAAGTCTGCCTCTCACCACGCTGGGCTGGGGACTCCGAGAAGGTAGGGTCTATCTTGGGTATTACATAGGGGAAGGCACTGCAAGTATTTGTTGAGTGAATAAATGAATGGCGGGGGTGGGGAGGTCGCAGGCCTCACGTGGATGCGGCAGCCATCATCTACAGGGTAGGAGCCCAGCAGCGCATCCTCCTGATCCAGCTTGCTGTAGAACTTGTCGTCAGCACCATACAGCTCCAGTTCCATGCAGGAAGCAGGACTGCCCACCACCAGCTCCAGTTTACACTGCGAGGAGGGGGCAGGGTTAGGAGAAAGGCTGCCAGGGGCCCCGCCCTCTGCCCTGAGGCTCCGCCCCTTGTATCAATAAGCATCACCCCATCCCTGCTCCTCCACAAGACCCACGGCCCAGGGACACACCGGGCCCCGCCCCTCTGCTCTTGCCCTCGCTCTCTGGACCATTTAATTTTTCCCTGGCTCCACCCCCACTCTCTGGAATCCCAGGTTCTCTCCGGACCCGCCCCACCGCGGCCCCATCCCCAGCGCCTGCACCCGCGGATCATCTCTGGACCCGCCCCATCGCTCTCTGGCCCCTCCCCGCGATCGGGAAGCTCCCCCACTTCTTCTTTGCCCCGCCCCTCCGGGCCCCGCCCCCACGGCCACACCTTGAACTCCGCGATGGTGAGGCTGCGACTGTACCGCTTCTCGGAGCGGAAGCTGTTTAGGGAGCTGCTGATGAAAACCGTTACTGTGGGCGCCGTCACCCCCGTCACCTCCATATCGCCGCACCCTGCCAGGGCCTGCAGCCCGGTCCTGCCGCCTCACACCGGCTCCTCAGCCGCCGCCGCCGCTTCTGGGATATCAGCCCCGCCCCTCCTCGGGACCTGACCAATCCACGCTCTCCTGCAACGAGGGCCCGCCAATCGCCGCCGTCGCTCCGCCGCCGCCAGGAAGCGAGCCCTCCCGTACTCCTGGGAGGGTCCAGCCAATCCAGGGAGTCCTCCATGGTTCTCAGTCCTTCCAATAGTAGCCGGGGCCGGCGGGCGGGGGCTGAAGCCGAGAGGAAGGACGGGTAAGAGTTATCCCGGTTCGCGAAGGGTAAACTCGCGCATGTGCACTGCCCTTCGGCCAAGCAAAGAACAATGGCTTCTACCGCTTATGCGCAGAGCTCTGCAGATTACGCTGGGCATTGTTTTCCCTGCTCTTGGACCAGATCCATACTATTCTGTAAACTAGGGAGGAGAAGGCCAGAAACTGGAAGCAATCCAGGCCTAGGAAATCTAAGACACCAAAAAATTGAAGCAAGCAATCAACCAAACTTCAGCGCGCAGAGAGCCTGGCACGAGGCGGCCGGGACCTAGCACGTGTGCACAGCTCCGCCCCTCTTTGGGCGAAGCAACTGTGCCTGACCCTTCCCGCGACCCGTAGCGCGGCGGAGCAGGCGCGGAAGGCTCGGCGAGCTGCGCGTCGCCATGGAGCCTGACGGGACCTACGAGCCGGGCTTCGTGGGTATTCGATTCTGCCAGGAATGGTGAGGCCCGGGGAGCAGGTGTGGAAGGGGAGCAAGGAAAGGCTCCGGGACTGATCTCTGACCTCCCCTTCCCACAGTAACAACATGCTGTATCCCAAGGAAGACAAGGAGAACCGCATTCTGCTCTACGCGGTGAGCGCGGGCGCGGTTCCCAGCGTGGCCCCGCCCCACCCCGTGTAACGCGTACGCCCAGTTCGCCCCCAACACCCGCTCAGTGAACCCGACTGTCCTGTCTTGTTCATCCCGGAGGGGACTAACTTCGAGACTCCATCTCGGAGTCATCCCTTCCGGTCTCATCTCTCTGTAACCCCTTCCCCGCACTCGCCCCCTCGCAGTGCCGGAATTGCGATTACCAGCAGGAAGCCGACAACAGCTGCATCTACGTCAACAAGATCACGCACGAAGTGGAGTGAGTGGCGGGACCAGAGCTTGCGGGAGGGGCTGTTGGCTTTGGAGGTCCGGTCTGAGCATAATTAGTCACCCACTATCCCTGCAGCGAACTGACCCAGATCATCGCGGACGTGTCCCAGGACCCCACGTTGCCGCGGACCGAGGACCACCCGTGCCAGAAGTGAGCGCGCAGTTGGTATTGGGGAGGGAAAGTGGCTCATCCTCACTGGGCGAAGAAGGGAGGAGGGGAGGGTGTCAAGCTCTGCGTGATGGAACCATCCCCTCAGGTGCGGCCACAAGGAGGCGGTTTTCTTCCAGTCACACAGTGCCCGGGCCGAGGTGAGTTGCACGACTGCTTTCTGAGTATCTGGGGCTTGGCGCTTCCTGGGGGCAGGGGTACCAATATTGGGGTGACCCTGTCCTTCCTGAAATCTTGAGCTGGACCGTTACTGCCTGGGAGAGTTCTCTGGTCTGTTTGGGGTGAGGCACTGCGGGGTGGAGGGTGCCATGCTATACCCTCCCCTGCGTACAGACCCTCCCCAACCGTGTGTCCTTTCTACCAGGACGCCATGCGCTTGTACTACGTCTGCACGGCTCCACACTGCGGCCACCGCTGGACTGAGTGACACCCCTCTCCCCCGAGTGTAATAAATGCCAGGTTCTGTACACGAGTTGCCTGTGTTTATTTGCCTCGTGGGCAGGACGCTGGCACACCGTCTCGGGTGGTGCGGTGCAAGGCACGGTGCTGTGCGTAGGCGTCAGGCCTGGAGCTGGTGAAGCCGCAGTCCTCGCACACGTGCAGCTTCTCACGGCGCTCACGGTAGGCGTAGCTGGCTGGCTGCCCGTGCACCTTAGCAAGATGAGCTTCGAGGGAGCACCGCTGCGTAAATGCCTTCCCGCAAGCACCGCAACGGAATGGCCGGATCCCTGCACACAGGGTGTGGAGGGGGAGGGACAGAGAGGGCAATGACCTTTGGAGTAAAGTCTTCCTAGGTTGCCTTCCAGCGTTGAGCATTTCCCGTCCCGATTCCAAGCTCTTCAGACTCTTCCGCCTATGACCCACCATCTGCTGCCCGCATCCAGTGCAAACATGGGGCAGACACCTGTGTTTCCACCCTCCCTCACCAGGATGTCCCTTCCCTTGGGGGAGAAGGAGGGAGGCATTCCTTTGTGCCCTTTAATCTGGGGGCCTGAGTCCTCTCACCAGCACGCATCTTGACTCTACCCCTTGGCAGGCCCCTACCTTGGTTCCACCTTACACCCATCTGCTGGGGTCTGAGGTACCCCGTGTCTCAAGCCTCCGGTTGGCTGTGTCCCTGCCGCATGCACACAAACATTGGAAACTCCACATCCCTGGTACCTCTCCAGGGTTCCTTCCCTGCCTGGGGCCCAGCAGCCCTCCCTGTCCCTGCCACTGCTCACCAGTGTGAGTCCTCATGTGGCGCTTGAGATCGAAGGCATCATGAAAGCCCTTGCCACAACAGCGGCACACGTGGCGGCGTGCTGGGCTGTGGCACTTGAGGTGCCTCGTCAGCATGCGCTGCAACGGGAAGGCCTTGGGACAAAGCGGGCAGCCCAGTGTCCCTGGGCCTCTTGGAGCAGAGGCTGGGGGGCCCTGTGTGGGCTGCCAGAGGGATGCAGGAGTTAGTCCCTTTGGCCGGACCCTTCCCACCCTGTGTTACTGTGCAAACAAGTTATTTACCGATTGCCCAGAGCCAAGGAGAACTAGGAAGGCTGGAGACTGATTAGTGTGTGTGCATGTCACTCTCCCCAGCGCCTTCCCTGACCGTCCCTCATCGCCCTTATCTTATGTCTTTGTCGCATTCATAATTCTTCATCTTCCAATGTAATATATCCTTTTTTTTTAAGAACAGAGTCTTGCTCTGTTGCCCTGGCTAGAGTGCAGTGGCATCAGGATAGGACACTGCAACCTCAAACTCCTGGGCTCAAGCCATCCTCCTGCCTCAGCCTCCCGAGTAGCTGCGACTACAGGTATGTACCACCATACCCAGTTAATTTTTTCTATTTTCAGTATAGGCAGGGTCTCACTCTTGCTCAGGCTGGTTTTGAACTCCTGACCTCAAGTGATCCTCCTGCCTCCCAGAGTGGTAGAATTAAGGCGTGAGCCACTGTGCCCTGCCTCCTTTTCTGATTTTATGGTCTGTACCCCCAGCTCCCACCACTATAAAGGAGTGAGTCTTTGTCTTAATTCGTACTAAATACTCAGTGCCTACAACAGTGCTTGGCTCTCAGTAAACAGTGTAATTATCTCAAGCACATTTACATTTTGGCCAGTGCTTTCCTTCCGATGCATGCGCAGCTGAAATACCCCTTCTGAAACGCTCGGATATCCCTCATGCCCATCGTACTCCTGTCACCTTGTTCTATGTTCTGGCATAAAGTGGTCATCATGCCCTTGGACTGAGTCCTGTTCTGCCCCATTGGACAGAGAGATGAGACCTAACGGGAGCTCCCTGCTGGGAAAGGAGGGGCGTTTCCGGCAGGGAGAACCACGGTGGAAAGGTCCTGAGACTGGGGGGCGTGTGCGAATGGGCCTGAGTAGTAAGGGACGGTCAGGCGAAACTGAGCCAGGGCTTGTGGGCCAGCTGCAGACTCACCGCTGCCCAAGAGTCCCTGAGGCTGGAAGGCTGGCGTGCTGGCGGCCCCCCTAGGCTGCTGCAGTCTGAGGAGAGAAGCCGATGGTGATGCCTGTGTCTCCCCTGCCCCTTACCTCCAGGCCCAGTGAGGGGCCCACCTGGGATATAGGCATCTCCTCGGAGCTGGTCAGGCAAGTGGCCCCAGTTGGGCGGCTGTGGACGCCGACTCCTGACCAGGAAGGCACGGGGCATCCCCTCGGGAATGGCGAGATGGCTCTACGCACACAGGCTGCCTCCTCCAGCAGCTGTCGGAACTCAGCCCCAACGACTGTCCCAGGTGGGAAGGGAGGGGGAAGCCAGGAGATGCATGCAAATTTCCTGGCTGGCCCAGCGAGCTGACTTAGCTGGCTCCGGTTACCTCTGCCCTGGGAGCCTGCCGTTCATCCCCCTCTTCTCCCAGCGCTTCCTGGGGGAGCTCTGCAGCCTCCAGGGCAGACAAACACTAGGACCCCCAAGGAGGGTCAAGGCAGGGGAGATGGGCCTAGGCAGCTCTGGGGCATGGGGACAGGAACCATGGCCCCTGGGGGCTGAGTGTCTCCTGTCGTACCAGCTGGGCAAAGGACTAGAGGGGCTGTTTGCCAGGCAAATCAGTCACCACAGGACATCCAACAGCCTGCTTGGTTATTCAAATCTCAGCAGCAGTCTGAGGAAACAGGGCAGGGGGACCCCGCTGATTGACTGCCTTGCTCCAGAGGGTGCAGGGAGGACAGGTAAGGGCAAAATGAGGATCCAGGCTGTGCGTCCTCAGGCAGGAGCCTCCACCTCTCTGATCCTCAGATGCCCAGAGCTAATGTTAAGCCAGAAGCACTGATCGGGCACTAAAATACTGGTTTGTTAATGATCCAGCACCTAGGGACTGCCTGGGACACCACCCCCTTCTCCCAAGTCTGGATACTAAAGTGGGAGGGGGAGCGGGGGCGGGGGACACCTGACAAAGCCAGGGGCTCCCAGGACCCTACCCTAGCGCATCACTGGCCAAGCTCTGTTCTAGAGTGGTCACTGTCTGACTGTCAACCAGGGCTTAAGGATTTTGAACATTCCCAATGCAGTTACTTTCTCCCGTCTATTTACCCAACGATTTTCTGAGCTCCAGCCACCAGCCAGGCCTGTGTGCAAATGAACACAGAAGTCCGTGAAGGAGACACACCAGGGACAGGCCAGAATGATCAGGACTACGAGGGGGACGCACTGGCAGAGTGAGCCAAGTCTGATGGGGAGAGCCCAGGGGGGCCTGGGGGCCCAGGAGAGGCTCCTGATCCAGCCTGCGGGGTCATGGCTTCGGCACTGAGCCTTGGAAGGCGAGGTTTCGGGTGGAGGGAACGGTCTGCACACAGGCTTGGTGGTGAGAGTCAGCTGTGCTGATCATTCGGGGCAGCAAGGGAGGCCGCGCAGAGGGTCTGGCAGCCCAGCCGTGCCACTGCGCTTCCGGAGGACCTGGGGCAAGGCAGTTCTCACTGAGCCTCAGTTTCTTCACCTGGGAAGTGGGACTAAGGAGTCTCCCTGTTATCAGTTGGCGTTGAAGACCCATGGAGAGAATGCATAGCACGGGGACTGGCATGCGGCAGACCTAAAAACGGGTGTGGTTAGGACGTCGTGAGGGGTGTGGTGGCGTGGCAAGCATCTGGGTGTCAGTTGGCCCATCTGTAAAATGGGGTTTTAAGCGGTGTCTCCATCTCACAGTTGCTGGATGTCCTGCAGCCTTGACTAGGGTGCCTGGCACAGGTCTGGTAGCTCAGCACCTAGGCGCTGTCCTGACGAATTCCGCTACAGGGGGGCCGAGGTAAGTGTGGGGCGCAGGGGCAAGTCGTAGAGAGGGATGAGCTGACAGACGGGTCTGGGAGAGCTGCTTTCTGTTTCTTCTCAGGGGCCCAGCTGCCCGTGCCTGCCACTGTATCTCCTGCGGCCACCAGGTCCTGTGTTGCTGCTGAAACCAGAAATCTGGTGCCAGGTATCTTCCTTTGCCCCCAGACCCCTATCCTGTTCCACGCTGGCCTGTGTCCTGGGAGGTGGCCTGGGTGGGCTGCGTCGCCCAGGCTCCCGTGCCCCCGGGCCTGCAGTAGTACTGGGACGGCAGGGCGCCTGCAGGCGCGTCTGTCTTGCTCTCTAGAAGATGGATGGCCTTGAGGGCAGACGCTTTGCCTGACCTGTTCCTCACTTTGTCCCTAGTGTGCAGAACAGTGACAGGCACCTGGGAGCTGGCAGGGTTTTCTGAACTGCAGGATTGGTCCTGATGTGTGTCGTGTTACGGCAGCAGAGAGCTGTGTCCTCATGTTGAAGGGGCCAGCTCTGCCACCAGGCAAACTTAGGTTCAAGTCTCAGCTCTGGGACCCTGGGCAAGAAACCGGGTCACTCTGAGCCTGTTTCTGGTGGGACTGTGCTTTAGGAAAGGGCCCTGCCCCTGCTGGCTGCCTTTTTGTAGGGACATGGGACAATGGGGGCATTTGTGGTCATGAGAATGGCATTCTTAATAGAAGACACACCACGTGTCTAGATGCCTGCTGCCCAGGGGAGCCAGTACCAGCGCTAGGGGCTCCTGGGACGTAGAACTGCTGGGGAAGGAGTTACTGGTTCCAGCTGCTGGGCGGCCTGGGCCTGCCAGGACTGTCCAGTGGGCCAGCCTGCTTGTCTCTCCTCAGGTTCTCCTGTTGCAGATGAGGACAGCAAGAGCCTGGACCTTGTTGGATCCAGTGTGGGCCTGGCCCAAGGGCTGTGAACCAGTGATGTGGCAAAATGTGGACAGGTGGGTAAAGTTGGGCACGTGGTGATCACAGCAGCTCCAGTGGGGTCTCAGGCATCAGCAGGGGGCACGGAAGAAGGGCTGGCCCCTCCCTGGGGTACAGCTGGGCCCCACTGGGCAAGGACCACACATGACGCCCCTGCGGCAGCTCAGTGGGCTGGGAGTAGGCAGTGCGGGAGGCCTGGCCCTGGGACTGTCATTACTGCAGTTCTCAAACTTCTCGGGAACGCTGGTCCCATGTTGCCCATTGACGGAATCTGGGAACAGGGCCTGGCATTGTGGCCAACGCAAGCCCCCTGGGCTGTCCCCTGAGTGCCACCCTCTGCCCTCCCCCTGCATCCACCTGCAGAGGGCTTTGTGGATGGGCCCAGATAGGCTCCAGGAACGATTTCTGCAAACTGTCAGTTTATTTGCTTAAAATACCTATTTCCTCACAGGTAGCAGGGTTGTGGTGACAACGGCCACTGGCCCTCAGTCCCCCCGCGCCTTCCTCCGCACGGCTTGCACCAGCAGCTCCGAGTAGTGTTCCAGCAGGGCGTGCAGGTCTGGGCTGGCCAGGGGGCACAGTGCAGGTGGGGAGGGGGGCCCGGGGCTGGGCCGGCCCTGGGCTGGGGACACGTCAGTCCTGACCAGCCAGTCGCTGGCCTCCAGCTGGCCGTGGATCCAATGGAAGGTGGAGGCCAGCTCAGTCTGCGCCCGCTGCTGCTCAGCGTCCACCTGGTCACTGGAGACCAACTGCAAGGGATGCCGGCCTTGTCACGGGCCACCTGGGCCAGGCAGCCCAAGGAGCCCCCGTGACCCTTTCCTCTGCCCCTCGGGCGTGGCTCACCACATGGTACAGGTCAAGGGCTTCTTGGAAGGCGGTCTGCAGCCTGTGCGAGATGCTCCCTGCGCTGCTCGGCTCAAGGGGAGCTGGGGGCAGGACCTCAGCGGGCACCCGGGGCTCGCCCCAGCGCCCAGGGCTGCCCCAGCGCAGACTCGACGCATCTGGGGTAGAGAGCAGGCCGTGAGCAAGACGCAGCTACTTTCCAGCTGCGGGGAGAGGCCAGGGCGTCTGGGCCGAGTCCAAGCACTGTTGCTGTGTCTGGAATACTCGCTCGGTCACCAGGCTCCCCTCCCGGTCTCTGCTCAGACGCAGCCTTCTCGCTGAAGCCTCCTCCCCTGATCCTGTTTAGAACTGCCAGCACCGACCCCCTTGTCCGATTTCTCTCCCTAGCGCGCGTCACCTCAGGATACATTTGACGCTTTCCTTACAGATTTTGCCGGGTATCACCCCCAATGAAGCTGTCAGTTTTCTATTGTTTACCACCATGTTCTGTGTCCCCAGGGCCTAAAACAAATCCCAACAGGTACAAAATGCTCATTAAATATTTAAGTGAATGGATGAATGGCACAGTCCCTGTGGCTGAGTCAAGCGTCTACTTTTGGAGCTCAGCCAGCTAGCACACGGGCTGAGCTTAGGGGACAGGGCTTTGTTCCAAGGGTGGTACTCACCAGGGGCGTGCTCCAGGAGGGAGACGGTGCTACCAGGGACCCCAGGCCTGGCCTCTGGAAGCTGGGGGCTGTTGGGGCGGGCAGGAGGGTCGAGGGGCTCGTAGGCCGGGAGCCTGGGGAGAAAGGCGGAGCTGTGGAGCCTCGGGGTGCTCACGTCCACAGGGCTGGGGGCTCGGAAGCTGGCTGTCGTGACTGTGACACCAGGCTGAGAGTCCACAGGTTCCTGGGACCAGACACACGTGGTGGGTGGCTCCGGGGGGACTTGGGGTAACAGCAGCCTGTCACAGACACTTGACAGGGTCAGTCTCAGGCTGGCGCGGGCATCGTGGTTGCCCCAGGAGTGCACAGCAGGCTCTTGGCCCTCACTGCCCGAACTGGGTGTCGCTGTGGTGGTGATGGCCTGGAGCTCCTGGCCCAGGGAGGCCAGCTCCCCCATGGACGATGGCCTTCGGAGGGGCCTGGCCAGCTCAGCCGTGACAGGGCCCTGACTGTCCCCGAGGGAGATGCTGCGTGATATCTTGGCACGGGAGCTGGCAGTGGCCTCCATGTGGGAACAGGTGGAGGGGACGTGGATACGCTGAGCCAGGCCCGGGCTGGGTGCCGACGTGGGCGTCGGAGGCTTCCTGTCTGTGGGCGGCACTGACGAGGAAGGGACACAGGGCGCCAGTTCTGCAAGGCAGGGAGCTGTGAGGGAAGTAGAGGCTCTCTCACCCCCAGCCGCGGAGCTGACGCGCAGGGCCCACCCCAGGGGCTGCAGGGTCTGAAGAGACACCCAGCTTAGCTGGGCACCTAGGCCGCTTGCTGAGAAACCCAGGGCTGTTCATCTGGGCTCGGGGGCACTCGCTCAGTGGGCGCCAGGCTGCCAGGGTCTCCTCAGCCTTTCCCGAGAGGACCGGCAAGCACACCTCTGAGGTGAGGACGAGGCCTGCTGGCGCCCGGCCCTGAGCCCCGAGGGAGGTGGCCCCAGTACCTGCTCTCAGGGTCTCTGCTCGGGGCTGGCTTCCCCTTCGGGCTGTGGGCTTGACCTCTGGAGACGTCGCGAGGTGCTGGGGCAGCTGGGCGGGGAAGGTGTGGGGGAACCTGCGGGGAGGACGCCGGGTGGGAGAGGGATACTCACACAGCCGGCCCTGCGTGCCTGAGGGGCGCAGCCCTGCCAGGGGCGGTGGCGTATAGAGAGCGGGCGGGTGGAGGGAGGGTTCACCAGCTCCTACCGGGATGTCTTCCGGAGGCTTGAGAGGAACTGGGCTGAGATGCTCAGCCGGGGATTGAAGTAGTCTTCGGCCTCGGAGACCTTCACGTCTCTCAGGGAGCCATGGAAGAGCTCTAGGGGAAGATGCCCGGGGCCCTCAGAGTCATCGCAGCCAAGCAGCCGTGGACCCAGGCAGACCCACACGGCGGCAGGTGGATCCCCAGAAACGCCCAGCAACAAACACTTGCGCCCAGGAGCAGACGGAGCAGGGAGAGGGAGACTTGCACAGCTCGGTCCTCAAGGGAAAAGGTACGCTCCCCGGCCTGCCAGGGACAGCCCCGCCCCAGAGGCGTCCACACTGGCCCAGACTGCACCGACAGCCCAGGCAGGGTTCAGAGTGGGCAGTGCCCTACCTTCCGGGTGGCTGTCAGTAAGCGTCTCAAAGTGGTGGCGGAGGAACTTCTCCTGCTCAGGGGTCTGGGGCAGGGAGCTGCTGCGCGTGCCTGGCGCCTCGGGCTGGGACAGCTCTTCTTCTGTGGCACCTGGGCGTCCTAGAGAGAAGCCGTCAGCGTCGTGAGTCATGGCAGGTGCCACCCACCTGACGCTAGAGAAAGCTGGACTTGCCCGTCACACCCTGCTGCCACCAGGCTGAGAAGGAAAGACTCCCGTCTTCCAGACAAGGAAACAGGCTCAGCGAGTGCCAAGTCCAGGGCTGACGTGGGGCCGGTGAACATGTATCGTGACCCTCCCTAAGCCAAGGACAGAGTCTGGTAAAGGCCCACTGAGGCAGAGGAGATTGTTACGACGACTTTTTGGAAAACCCAAGCCCAGAGAGACAAGCCTCTTACTCCGCACCCTGGCTGGCCTGTCTGGCCCCTGCTTACCTGGTGTGGGGGGCGTCACCAGGGCAGCCCGCCAGCCTGGGTCAGGCCGTGGAGGGGAGGAGTGCACGGTGGCAGAGCTGCACTCCAAGTCGGCGTCGGACTCCCCTGAGTCTGAAGGAGCAGGGTGTGGGGTCAGGACCGGGCTCTCGGGGTGAGCGGGGCAGGTGGCTCCACTTCCCTGGGCTGCAGCTTCCCCGTGTGGAGAATGGGGATGAGGGCAGCGCCCACCCCCCACTTTTATGGACAAGCAAAGCTGCACATCAAGGAGGTGGCAGAGCGGGGTTCTCAGCCGGTGGGCAGCGGGGCTCCAGCACCCTCAGGAAGTGGCAGGGACCATGTCTGTCTGCTGCCACGGACTCTGAGCTTCAGGAGGACTGGGTCAGAGTCACCCTGAGTGCTCAGAGAGGGGCCTGGCTGAATGAAGAGTCTGTCACAGGGTCCCTGCCTGCCCCACTCACCCTCGGGTGGGCTCTGATCCTTCGAGCTGACGGAGGAGACCCTGAGGTAGGGGTCGCTGTGCTGGTCTCCAAGCCCTTCCTCCATGTCCTTTTCGCAGGACTCGCTGCGGCGCCAGCGGCAGTGGGGAGAAGCTCACGCTGGCGGGTCAACACCCAGCGCCCCTGGGCACCCACGCCCTGCTCCTCCTGGGAGACTGCCTCAGCCTCCCTTGCCTCCTCCAAACACCCCCTCTCCCAGGAACCCCCTGCCCCCCACCTGGAACCAGGGAAACCGAGGCTGCCTCTGAGGCTGCAGGGCTGGGCTCCTGCCCCATCTGGGCCTCACCCATCCCGCTCCCACGGGCCCACTGGGAAAGCGGAGGGCAGTCATTCACATGTACCTATCAGCCGGGGCCGCCTCTCTCCCGCTAAGGCTCCCCTTGGTGCAAAGGACACCCACCTGTCTGTCCCCGTGACTGTTACTTCTGCCTCCAGGGAGTAGATGAGGAGCTCACGGGCCTCAGGTGACTCCCTCTGCTGGGGCAGGAAGGAGGGATGCCTGCAGCCACCCTCCTGGGGACTCTCCGACTGTGAGGTGAAGAGAGCACAGCCACTCTGAGGCGGCCACGACCTCTAGGGCCAACAGTGTGGGACGGGGACGACGCCGGCAGCTCTCACTGTGGGACGCTGTGAGCCAGGCCTGTGCCCAGTGCTCCGCTAACCCTGGGCTCATTCTGTGCCCCCCACCCCGCCCCGTCAGTCCCCTCACAGATAAGAACTCCACATGGCTCCAAACACATAAGAGGCCTGACCGTCTTGGAGTCTATTTACGTGAAGTTCAAGAACAGGCGAACCAATCCACGGTGAGAGGTCGGGACAGCGGTTACCTTGGCTGGGGACACTGGCGGGGAGGGGCACGGGCAGATATTCTAGGAGGTAGGAAGTGCTCTCTATAGGACCGGGGTGGTGGGCACATACGAATTACACGGGTAATTCATCAAGCTATATGCCTGAGCTCTGTGCGCATTACTATACGTACATTATGCCACCCGCGGGACCTATGAGGGCCCAGGCCCTGTTCTTACCACTACATTCCTGGAAAGGTCCTCCAAAGCAGGGAGCGTTATGGTGGCTTTTTGGAAAACCCAACCCCAGAGAGACAAACCTCTTATTCCAAGTCACACAGCCAGGAAGGGTAGGGCCAAGGCTCTATCTACTCAAGTGTCCCCCACTCAGGTACAGGCCTGCTCTAGGGCCCAAGCTCTTAACTCCCAAGTGACAGTGACTTCCCTGTCTGCCCTGGGAAGTCTCACTGTGCACCAGGCCCAGGACTCGCCCTCCTGCGTTTCACCATCTCATGTCACCCTCTCTGCAGCCACGGAGCGGGGCTCAGCCCTATTTTCAAAACCAGAGCCCTCGGGCCCCAAGTCCTGGGTGGGCAGTCGTGCAGGGGCTGCAGGCTGGGCGGGGGGTGGCACGTACCTCGCTCAGCAGGCCTTCCAGGTTCTGCGGCTCCACTGTGTCCAGAACGGAGTCCTCCAGACTCCCTGGCTTCATGGGGGTAAGGTAGCAATCCAGGTCCCGGGCATCCAGGATGGTCTTGAGGGGCTCCTGGCCAGCCCGCTCCGCCCAGCGGCCGTGTGGCTGGTAGCTGCGCTTGCCACGGAAGGCCGAGCCATCTGCCGCGTCCTCGTCTCCTAGCTGGAAGGACATGGGACAGTCAGGCAGCCGGGTAGGTGTTCATCAGCTGCAGCAGGGCCACGGACACTGGACAGACCTCACCCAGCCTCTGGGCTTTGCACGCTGTTCAGAAATAACTTCCCGATACGTGCCTCTGTTACCTCTCTGTGCCCCACTCTGGCCCTCATCCACCCCAAACCAGGCACCCCAGCCTCCCTGTTCGTCCTTGAAGATGCTGAGCACAACCCTGCCTCCTGGGTTTGAACGGGCAGACTGTTCTGCCTAGAACATTCTTCCCCAGTATGTGCATGTCTCTCTGCTCAACTATCATCTTCCCAGCGAGGCCCTTTCTGTTTACCTAATATCGCCCCCCTGCAGCACTTTCCAGCTGCCAGCGTCCTACGTGGCTCACTGAGTTAACGTGGACGCTGTCCCTCGCCCACCCTGGTGAGCGAGCCTGCGAAGGGGGTTTTGTCCGCCTCGCTCGGCGCCGTGTCTGCAACAGCCAGCACCGTGCCTGGATGGCAGAGGTTGTCCAGGGAAAGGAGAGACGTGGAGAGGGAAAGGTCCCCAGAACAAAGAAGAGCCGGGAGGGCGCCCTCCTTGCCAGCCCGTGGCGTCCCGCCCTCCCGGGCGACTCACCAGCCGCTTTGCCCAGAGCGGTAGCTTGCCGTTGGTCAGCAGGCACCGGGGATCTGCAGGGACACATGGAATCCGTGAAAAGAGGACAGACACCCAGTAGGCAACGGGCAGCACGCACAGGCAGCTCTCCAGAGAGGCACACGACTGACAGATCAACAGATGCTCCACCTGACCGTCAGGGAAACGCAAATTTAAACAGCGGGACACAACGCTTTACTCTTAGGACTGACCCAGACCAAACGCTCAACGCTACCACATGCCAGAACGTGCGCGGGAACGAAGCGCCAGCGCAATGCTGGGTGGGCAGTAACTGGACGTGCAGAGCTTCTGGGGCTCTCTTTTAAGATAAAGTATGTCCTAACCCCAGGGCTCCATGGTGCCACTCCTCAGCCTCCGTCCTGCAGGAACTTTCACGCGGGCCCGAGGAGGAAGCCCAGGAGGGCCCAGAATAGCCTCATTTACGACAGTGGTGAAAATTAGGACAAACTTACTTCCCACCCAGAGGGGAAATACTTAAAAAACTCTAGTCTGGTGCTGGTTTAAAAGGGGGGCCTCTGCTTGGTGCCCGCCGACGCACGGGTGGGTGAGATACTCTGGAGCGGAGGCAGGTACAGAACAGCGTCTGTAGCACGATAAATAGCGTGACGTGTTTCCCGTGTGCGGTCGCATCGATGTTCAGGAAGAGGCTGTGAGAACGCACACTGAGCTAATAAAGGTGGCCAACCCAGAGACGACACTGGATTGGGCATGACGGTGGCAATAAGGAAAACTGGCTCACTCTGTAATGTCTGATCGTCCGAGGCTGAATTCGCACGTTGCTGTTGCCTACCAGTGAGCCCCTGCCTATTTTTCCCCTGTGGGGAGAGCTCACCACCGACGCTAAAAGCACCGAGTGCTGGTCACCGTTCCCAGCCTCTCTGTAGCTGGAGGCATCCTGGGGCGATGCCTGAGGGGAGCCTGCTAGGGGCTCCTGGGAGACAGCTTCCGCTCTGGAGGAGATTCTCAGGAGAGAAGGTCTCTCCTCTTCAACATGTCTCTGATGGCTGGAACTTAGGCAGGCCTCTTGCAACCATGAGGGCCTATGCAGAGGGGCAGAAATTTAGAGTCTGGCCTTTTAGAAAGTTGTTGAGCTACTACTGTTCCTTTTGCCTGAACAACACAATCTGTCCTGCCTTCTAGTTAACAGCACCCTGCTCTTCCCTGGGACGGCCCCCTGATACTCCCCACCTTTAGTCAGGTGGCTCAAGTGGAGCTGACTAAAGCCTCTGCCCTCAGGAGTGATCACGTGACTCGGGCTTGGACCCTCACAGTGACTGGCTCAGGAATGGGCACAAGATTCACACCAGGAACATGAGCCACAACCCAAGGACTTTGCTTGAGCTGTCAGGAAAGAGAAGTTCTCTTCTCTACAGAGTTTTATAAAACCTGAAGCTGCTAGGGGCATCTTTTCCTCTAGTTAGGGAGAGTCTGCTCAAGAGTGAAGCCAACGTGAAGAAAAGCAGAGCCAAAAGATGGAGAAAAATCTCTTCCTTTTAACATCGCCTCACTATCTGGATCCAGCCATGCCTGAAGCCAATCCTCTTGAACTTCCAGTCACATGAACCAAAAAATTCCCTTTCCAGCTAAAGCCAACAACAGTCTGGCTGCTGTAACACTGAAAGAATCTTGACTGACATAATTATTGAGCTTCAGTATGTGCCAGGCCCTGAGAACGAAGTAGTGGGCAAAATCTAGCACCGCTTCCTCACGCGGACACAGTTCCCAACAGGGCCCCTTTCCGACCTGGATCCAGGCTGTCTCTGAAAGGCGTCTTCAGCAGCTCTTCCGGTTCACACTCTTCCTCCAGCTCGTCCTCTGTCTGCTCTCCAGGGCTCGGGGAGTGAATCTCACAGGGCAGGGATGCATATGTCTCCTGTCTAAAGCCAGGAAGCAGGACAGGAAGGAGAGGACACGGGTCAACAGGGTGGTGGGGACTTGCCTAGCGCGGGGCCCTGTGCTTCTGGTCCAGATGCTGCTGGGTCTTTCGCCTGACACGCCCCCTCCCCTACAAGCATCACCCCGATGAATGGGCTCGAAAATAGGACAAACTGTGCCAGGGCCACAGCAACGGGACAGAAAGCAAAGCAGACGCTGGGGCTGCCGTCCTGGGCTGCTGGGTCCCCTTCAGGTGGTGGCAATGAGGTTTTGGCTCCTTTGGCGTGTGGGAAACTCAAACGTTCTTGACATGAGGGGGGCACTGTAGCCAGGACTCTGCTCACAGCCTCGGGGCGGGTGAGCCTCAGAACCGAGAGCCAAAGGGATCTGCGCACTCCCTCGGTGCCCAGATCTGTGATGCCTCCAACAGCACCCCAGGACTAGTGGCCATGGTCCACCTGGTCCCCACGGGGCCCTAGGAGTCTGCATGGAGGCCATGGCAAAGCCTCACGATGGAGAGGCACAGACAGGGACACATCCAGAGGCAGGAGAGAGGAAACCAAAAACCTCCCACTCAAAATGAGCAACTCCCCAAACCGAATCTAAAATCAAAAACTAGAACATGAGTTCACTCCAAATGAAACCAATTTTGCAGCATAAAGCCTTCAAAGAAATACGTTTAGAGGACTCAAAGAAATAAGTGAAGGAACAGCTTCCATTTAAAGAGTGAGGACACCTCAGCTCCACTGTACCCTTAACTGACCACTCCCTCCACCTCGGCCCCCTGGGGCTTCCCCGGCGCGCTCAGAGCCGCACCACGAGCCCTCTCTCCCGCCGTGAACCCTCCACTCGGTTATCGCAGCTGCGAGTGCAAAGCCTGCCTCCTGCACCAGGCTGTCTCGGCCATGGCTACGTCCCCAGCATCGCTCCTCACAGGGCCCAGGGCAGGGGACATCCCTCTATCCCTCTGGTGAACAGACAGATGGGGTATGGGGGCTATCAGGACCTGGGGTGGCCGCTCCACTTCCTGTCCTTCATGTGCTGCTGCTGCTGCTGCTGCTCGCGCTGGTCGATCTCCAGCAAGTGCTGCTTCATGCAGTTGGTGATCTCGGGGCCCAGCTGCCAGATGAACACGCAGCTGCGGAGGCCAGAGAGGGGCGGAAGGGAGCGAAGAGTGACCGCGGGAACCCCTCGGCCACAGCCAGGGCTCCAGCCCCCAGACCCTCCCCCATCAGCTCGGCGCAGGGGCTCAGGGCTTTGTCAGAGCTACACCCTGGGCCCGGGTCAGGGCGTCCCAGCAAGCCAGGGCCTGCTCTGGCTGCTTCGAGACCTGAGGAAGGGGCTGTGCAGAAGTGGGATAAACCGAGGGAGTGACAAAAGGGACTTCCTTGAGCACCAGCCATGTGCTAATTAGTTTATATATCTATAAAATCTCATTCAATGCTCGTCATAGAATTTTCAAGGTAGATGGTGTCATCTTTCTCACAGAAGAACGAACTGAGACTCAGAGAGGGGAAATGACCTGTTCACGGTGATGAGAAAATAAACGACAGATCTGGGATTTGAACTCGGGGCTGGGTGTGACACCAAGGTGCACACTGTCCACGGTGGGAACAAGCTGGGAAGCTCAGGAGTCTCCTACACAGGTGGGCTGTGGCACGGTGCGTGCGGTGTCTGAGCCCCCACTCTCCCCGCTAATTATGTCCCACCCCTCCCAGAGGGAGGCCCACCCAGGGGCAGCCTCCGGGCCTGTCCCACCTGTCTCCAGATACTGTGATCAAGTGACGACAGTCATAGGTGAATTTCATGCCGGTGATGATTTCTACAAACAAAGCAGAGCAGCTGCACTTGCCTTCTGAGTTGGAGGCTGCGAGGGCGAGGGGAGGTGTCCCAAGCAGCGAGCCACACCCACCTGAATGGCCAAACATCTTGGCGATGCACTCGCCCGAGTAAAAGTCAATCACTGAGATGCTCTTGTCAGAGCAGCTTGTGGCCAGGAAGGTGCCTGAGGGGTCCACGTGGACCTGCCGGGAAAGAGCCACATGTCACTGAGGCTGCCTGCATCTTCCCTATTGTTTGGACTGGGCCAACATCCCAGCCCTCGCTGTCTGGGCCACCCTTGCGCTGGACGCACAGCACATGGAATCATCCCAGGGAACCCTCGCAACGTGCACCCTGGCAGGGCAGGAACTGCTGATCCCATTTTATGGCAGCAGAAATTCACCACCCCCGCAACAGCAGTAATGGTAGCCAGGCCCCGTGCCAAGCACTGTGTGGTGCGAACTTAATTCTTCCACAGAACACCCCATGATAGACGCCATCTTCATGTGCAATTTACGGAAGATGAAACAACAGCTCCAGAGGTGATGCTTGCCCAGGGTCACACAGGCAGGCGGGCAGAGCTGGGGGCTGACCCTGGAGCCTGAACTCACAACTCTCCTGGTCCCGAGGAGGCTCTGAGAAGGTCCCCATCTTGCCCTGAGTAATGCACGTTTGGCAGGGGCAAGCCAGGAGAGGAGTCTATGCCTCCCTGATCCTGCCCACTGTACCCTGTTGTTCTCAAAGGAACCCACTCAAATGCCCCCGCTTGGGGAAGGGCTTAGCAAAGAAAGGTAAAGTAGGCCGGGTGCGGTGGCTCACGCCTGTGATCCCAGCACTCTGGGAGGCCAAGGAGGGAGAATCACTTGAGGCTAGGAATTCAAGGCTGGTCTGGGTAACTAGTGAGACCCAGTCTCTACAAAAAATAAAAAATAAAATAGCCAGGCACGATGGCACATGCCTGTAGTCCCAGCTACTCGGGAGGCTGAGGCAGGAGGATCACTTGAGCCCAGGAGTTTGAGGTTACAGTGAGCTATGACAATGCCACTGCACTCCAGTCTGGGCAACAGAGCAAGATCCCGTCTCTTAGCTAAAAAAAGAAGGTAAAGCCGTCAGGGCCACCCTCCCCCACCTGCTCCCAAGCATCCTTGGTTAACCAGGCCTGAGTGGGTGCTGGCCACTGCGTGACCCTGTGATTAAGCACCAAGGACACAGGTCTCGGGTGGCCCATCAGGGCGGCAGACGGACAGGGGCCCCGTGTGGGGGTGTCTGCGTGAGGGTTTCACCCCGGGGGTCCCCGCTTCTCACCTTCAGCAGGGACCCTTCGTCACCCTGGGAGCCCTTGTAGCACTTCTTCTGCTTCCCGTTCACGGTGTTGTAGACTCTGGGGAGGTGGGCGCAGCATGCCCATCAGGGCCCTGCCCACCCTGCGCCCTGTCACCCTCTGCTTCCTGCCGCCCTCCTTCTCCCTGGAAGTCCCCTGCTGCCTCTTGTCCCCATCTGATGCCTGGACTGCAACCCCTTTTGGGGTTGGGGGGGGCGTTTTTTGGCCTTGGTTTATTTTCGTTTTCCCCGGTGGCCCGGGGGGTTTGGGGCTTGGCCCCCGTTCGGCCGGGGCTGTGAGGGAGGCTCTGCCCTGTGCACACTCCCTGCCTTCCCCTGCTCGCCCTCCACACCCTCCCCAGGCTCGGCTCAGATGGCCCTGCCTCCAGCAAGTCCTGCTTAATCCCCAGGGGGTCAGGTGTTTCCCCAGGGCCCCCGCAACCCCCTGGGAACAACCGTCTGGGCTCTCCCCGTCCCAGCCCTGACCACTCCGCACTGTCACTGCCTGGTCCCCTCCACTGGATTGAGAACTCTGTGAAGAAGGGAGGGCCTGGGGCTGCTCTGGCCACTGCCGTGACCCTGGCACCATCCAGCCCTGCTAGGTGCTCAGGGAATGCGGGTGAATGAGTGGGTCTGTGAGCCACACCCACGTCTCTCCGTCTCCCTGCACTGGCTCCAGGGAGGGCCAGAAGGAAGCTCTGCCGACCTGGAGGCTAGGCCTGGGAGAGCCTCGCTTCTAAGGAACATCTGCTGGGTTCCTCCATCCCGCCCAGCTTCTCAGGGAGCAGATGAGCAGGGGGGGAAAGCAGACACCTAGGAGAGGACAGGCGAGGTCCCATACTGGGCTGTTCAGAGACCAGCTGGGCCAACTAAGGGCCCGGGGCCACCCCTCACCTCACGTTGCGGTCCTGGCAGGCCACGGCCACGTACTTCTGGGTGATGTCAATGTCCATGTCATACAAGGTGGTTTTCTCTGCTACGTGGTGGGTACGGACAAAGTGTAGTCCATCCGAGGCCTGGCAGGACAGGCGGGACCTTCAGAGGACACCCCTGACAAGCCCCCTCACCCCAGCCCCCGAGGCCACCCCATCCTACCCGCTGGGCACTGCGGAAGTAGATGCTCTTGTCGGCCCCACAGCTGATCATCTGGATGTCTCTGTTGCCTGGGGGAGGAGGAGGGAATGCATTAGGCAGGGCTGGCCACACGGTCGGGGGCCCTAGCTCGGGAACGCCACTGCAAGGGCAATCACCCAACTTTACTGGGATCAAGGAGGGCTTCCTGGAGGAGGTGCAGTGGGTGTTGGGTCCGGATGGGAGCTGTGTGTGTGAGGGGACACAGATGGAGCTGTAGGGCCAGGACTGAACCAGGCAGTCTCTGGTGCCAGAGTCAAAGCTGTTACACACTGTGCTCTGACCCTGGGACTCCCCTCTGGGCCTAGTAGGAGTCCCTGCCCCGTGAAGTTGTGCGAAGCCCGTGACAGCGCCTGTCCCATGGTAAGCACTACAAACACTCCTGCTTTTGCTATTCCCATTTCCTTACAGAACAAGAGCTGTGCTGAGGACGAAAAGACAGAACAGACTTAGGGTCTTGGCATAACGGATGCTGCTCCGCTGTGACAGGATATTTGAGAGTCCAGGCCTGACATACAAGTGTTAATACTGGATGTTACTCAGCAGGAGTCAGTGAGCGCTGTGTGGGGAGGGAGGGTGACCCGGGAGGGACCGGAGAAGGCCTGCGAGCCATTTAGCAGTATCAGGACCATAAGCAATGGGAACAGTCTCTCACTATAAACAATGTGTGTCTGCCATGGTTCACAGCCACCAAGTATGACCTTGATGTGGCTGTTCACATCTGTAAGCTGTACAGACACTGTATTCACCCGTTGGACATACATTTCACAGAGAAGGGTTAAAAGACTGACTCCCACTTGAGCAGGGTAGCTTCTGACAGGTTCTGACCAGCCAGTGCTGGGTTTAAATTAACTGGCCGAGGCTTTGAGCGCAGCCCCTGGGTGAGCCAGCCCGGCCAGGCAGGGCACCAGGAGCCCGGGTCAGGACCTGCATCCTCTCAGACTGGCTGGGGACTCTAGCAAAGGCTTCGCCCTCTTCAGAAGGTGGCCCTAAGGACGAGGGCTGGTCATCACTCTCCTGGATCGAGACCATTCGTGAAAGGCAAGGTCACGGCTAGCCAGACACTCAGATTTACTGAGTTACTCCCACTGCCCGCATCCATGGAAGGGGAGAGTGCACAGTTTCTAAAGATGTTTGAGAAGTTGCAGTGGACCGGCTTTTGGTAGGTCTTCAACAAAACATATCAAACATGTTCACTTGTCTCTGCCCAGCTCCCACCACCTCAGCTGGGGAGAGGCAGGGCAGAAGGTGGGGAAGGCCAGGGGCCATAAATACATTCTCATTCACAGAAACAAACCTCTTCACAGGAACGCAGAGTCAACGAATGTATTCTATGAACAGATTCTTCTTGAATATAGTCTGAATGTTCTTGGGTTTTGATCAGTTAACCCCACCTGCCTCCCCTCCCCCTGGAGTCCCGTAGGGCCAGGGATCTATCTCTGCACTGGCTCTTTCCAGCCTCCATTCCATCCCTCCATTCTCTGGCTGAGCGTGGGGTTTGGAGGGCGGCCTGAGGCAAGACCTAGCTCCGCACTGACTGGCCGCGCGGCTCTGGCTGTGACATGGGGGTGAAGGGCTGACTGCTGGGAGGAGCCCACGTCCAGGTCGCACGGTGTAAGGGTCGCTGCCCGGCACAGAAGCTTCCAGCAACCCTCGATATCCCCTATTTTCCTGCCAAGGCTCCCAGGGCACATCCTGCCCTCGCCAGGGGACCAGCACTCTCCTAATGCCCGTCCTCCTGGATCAGGGGGCGGAGAAAGGTGTGGACAAGGGACAGATCGGTCAGAACTGGCTCAGGAGAACACGCCAAAGCCCTGGCACCAGTAACTGCTTTTGGGAAGGGCAGGGACTTCGAGTCAGCACAAGGCAAGTCAGCCCCAGTTTCTGCCAAAATCGATAGGAAGAGGGAAAAGCTCTTGCCAGGGGCACGATGGCAACCAAGATACTGCCTGCAAGAGAAGAAGGCAAAGCTGGGAGGGAGGGAGGGAGAGGGGATGCTGAAAATTTTAAAAGATTCAACCTTCAACCTTTGGACCCAGCTGTGCCTGAATCCAGTTTGCGCCTCCCTTTCTGTTTGAGCTGGGGGCAGCCTCTGCAGTGACTAGCGAGCACAGCGCCCATCGGCCGGGCACGGGGGCAAGAAGGGGCTCACCAGCGAACTTGATGGCCGTGATGGAGGAGGAGTGGTCGTCCAGGGTCTGCTCCAGGTTGTAGTTCTTCTCCGCATTCAGCACGTGGATCAGCCGGTCCCGACTGGCCGAGGCCAGCAAGGTCAGCCCTGTGAGTGGAGGGGATGGGCCTGGGTTCCCGGAAGCCTGCGCTGTGACCGAGCTGCCCCATCCACGGGGAAGGGGTCTTTGGTTTTAAACTGTATCCAGCTTGCCCAAACCCAGCGAGAGTCGCTCCCTCAGCTCTGCGGGGTCTTCGCAGAGCCCCCAAACCCTGGCATTTCACAACCCTCGCCACCAGTTCGGGGAGGACGAATCTTGACACACGCACGGATGCTTCTCCACGCACGCCCGCTGTGGACCCTCCAGCAGAGCCCAGCGCCCTTTCCTGCTGAGTGCGACTCCTCGCCAAGCCATGTCAAGCCCCGGCACCCTCTCAGTTTCGTGCGAAATCGTGGCCCGTCACTCTCTGAGCTCTGGCTACCTGGGCCTCGTGCAGACCCTGTTGACTGCCGGCTGCCACACTTCCTTCTGCTCCCGGCCTTCCCCACTGGCCCCCTCAGATGGCGCCTACTGTGGTCACCTGGTACGTCCAAGGCCTAATGACACGACCTGAGGCTGTGCTGGAGGGGAGCTCAGGAAGGGTGGCCGGGTGAAGAGAGATTTAAAGAAAATTTGGTGGGGCAGAGGGCATGAGGGAGGGAAGAATGAAAGAAGCACATGGGGGAAGTCGTCGTGTAACAGATCAGGACGTAATTCCGCCTCCCGTGTATTCCTGCTAAAAATGTATCATCCGAATCAGATCACGAGGAAAACAGACAAACCCAAACTGAGAGAGATTCTGCAAAATGACCGGCCCATACTCTGCAGAAAGCCGAAGTCAAAAAGACAAATTAAGCCCGTGGAAATATTCTAGAATGAAGGCAATAAAAAAGCCATGACACAACTGAAGTGTGATCCTGGACTAGAAAAACAAAGGTGCTGTAAAGGACAATATTGGAACAACTGGCGAAATTGGAACAGGAACCGCAGGTGACAGTACAGTGAAGTCCCCAGATTTGATACATGTGCTGTGGTAGTGTACATGGATGTCCTCGTTTCTAGGAAACGCTCACGGAAGCATCTGGGTGAAGGACTGTCGCGGCTGCAGGGTGCTCTCAGGCATTCCTGCATTGTGCACGTGTGAGTGTGTGCGTGTACGTACACGTGTACACACGTGCACGTGTACACACACGCACACACAGGGAAAGGGGAAGAGGATGTGACGTTGTGAAACACACATTTCAAGACTCACAGCTGTCATCCACAGTCCCACCAGACACCAACTACCCTTTCTGTGGCTCTGCCAGGGGTGTCCCCTTGCCACCCCCACCACACGCCACAGTCTCACCTGTCTCAGGCTTCGAGTACTCCAGGCACAGCACCTCGGCATCGTGGGCCTCCACCTTGACCAGCTCATCCATGAAGTGCAGCTCGTGGATCCTGGGAGACACACACTGCCCGCTATCCCCTGGCCGGAGTCCCCATGGTCCAGCCCAGCTCTGTCACTGCTAGGGAAGGGCAGGACGGCCGCACAGGCAATATGGGAACCCCCTTGTCGCGGCCAGACAGCTTAGACACGCACAACCGTATCTTCTCATCGAGAAACCCGACAGCGCAAAGGGAGCAGCATCGAGCCAGGGAGCACCGCAGCAGGCACCACCGCAGCAGGCACCAGCCCCTTGTGGCTCGTGGGCCGGAACATACCCCCACGGGGATCTAGGACAGTCCTCTGCGGGTGGGGCAGGGGACAGGGGTCAGAGGTCACTGTCAAGGCTAGGACCTATAGATGAGAACATTTGATTCTGGTCTCTCATTCTTAGAGTCTCAAATCTAGACCTTTCTTGTTCTCTCCAAATGAAATCAGTCAACAGCTCATCACAGCTCCTCTGCTCAACCCCCGCGATCTTAGCCCAGACGCTCAGCCTCTCGTCTCAGTTAACCCATCTGAAAAATGGAGCTAAAAACAGCTCTGGCACCAGAGGATATAGCGCTCAGGCCAGGCCTGGCATGGGGAGGAGAGTTACACCCGCGTTAGCGCCAACGTGAGCGCCGGCACGGTGAGCTGGCCTCAGGCCGTGCCTGATATCAAAACACAGCTGCCAATATTTAAAAATCATAGAATTTCACAGAAAAAAAATCTGCACTTCCTGCTCTTCTTGGGCAGTGGAAAGATGGCAGCTTGGGGCCTGTGGTGTTGGTGGTGGCCGTCCCTCTACAGGGCACAAGCTTTCTTTTTCCCTCCGTCTCTCCCACCCCCCAACAGCTCCAGCACCCCGGCGGTCACAGCCGTCATCTGTCATCTCAAATCTTGCCCTGTGATAAGCTTATGTTCTGTCAGCACCTATTGGGCTGGCGACATCTTGAAAAACCTCTACGGGAAGGGGATAAGCAGCCTGAGCCCTCAACTGCCCCACTCTCTTGGCCCCCCTCCCACAGCCACCAGGACGCTCCCCCAGCTGGCCTCTCCGCTGACAGTTCAGTGCCATGTGGTGGAGAAAGTACCACTCTGTCCCAGCGTCGTGCGAGTTTGCCTGTCCACTCCGGGGGGCAAGTCTGCATGCCGGCGGCTAGGCTCTCGGTACTTACGCTGATCTCAGCCCTTCTGGAAGCCCGTTCTCAGCTTAAGTTCTCAGCTTAACCGGGGACGGCTGGTTACCGGGTTGCTATTCACATCCCTCATGCCCCCGGGCGGCCAGAGGTGCCAAGGCCAGGGCTCCTCCCTGCCGCCCCGAGAACCCGAGCCGGAGCCGGGAGGTCTGCGCTAGACCCCGCCAGGGCCCACTTGCCTCAGATTTCCACTGCGGTCGCCTGAAGCCAGATGCTGGCCATCAGGACTGACCTGCATGACTCGAACCCCGGCTTTCACGTCCATGGGTGTCGCAGTCTCGCTCCCCCGGTCTGGGAAGTGTGACGTGTCCTGCAGGTGCTGGATGTCATTCTCCACATACACTACCTTCAGCAGGGTCTGCAGGAAGGAGAGGGCTGAGGTCAGTGCCGAGGATCTCAGAAGCACCTCTGAAGTTCTGTTCCTCTCCATTGCCAGTCTCCCCTTCTTCATCAGTAACACAACTCCAATTTTGATCCAGGAGTTTCACCAATCAGAACAATAACTATGTTTTCCCACCTCCCTTGCAGCTAGATGAGGATATGTGAATAAATTGTGGGCAATGAGACATAAAGCAAGCAAACACTCTTCTGCTGTCTTTTCTCCATCCTGTTGCCAGGAACTCGGATATGATAGCTGGAGCTCCAGCAACCATAATGGGTCATGAGGACATGGGCCACTTCCTCAAATGACAGAGTAGAGAGCTGGAAGGCCCTTGGGTCCCTAAGGGCTTGTTGCAGCTGCCAAAACAGCCTGGACTGCTTACCACCAGACTACTTTTATGAATAAGAAAACCAAACTTTTATCTCTTGTATTGAGTTTTTCTATTGTGTGCAACCAAATACAGCATGTATGTCACAGGTGCAGAAGAGAAGATAGTGGCCTTGGGTTGGGGTGAGGAGAGTAATAAAGGGACACGTGTGGAGGACCTGCCACACAATCCTGCATCAAGGGCCTTTTTTGTTCCAGCCACACTGATCTCTTTCAGATTTTCCAACTCACCAAGCTCTTTCCCAGCTCAGCGTGTCTACACAGGCTACTCCCTAAGTGTGGAACCCTTTCCCCTCCCCTCAATCCTCCATATCTCAGCTTAGTTGGCTCTTTCTCGGGAAGCCGCTCCTGATGTCCCAGACAAGATCACATGATGCTGTTACACACCCTACTAGCACCCCGCAAGTTTCTTTCATGGTGCTTATTGTACTTGTGATTATACATGATTTGTATGGTTATCAGTCTGCCTCCCCCCGTGTGTGCCACAAGGGCAAGAGAAGGGTCTGTCTTAGTCACTGCTGTGTTCCCAGCATGCAGCAAAGCACCTAGCACAGACCTTAGTAAGTACCTGCAGAATAAATGAACTCCTGATTCAGGTCTGAGCTCCCCAGAGAAGCTCCCTCGCTGACCTAGTGACACTAACCAAAACTTCTCCAGCAAACTTTCCTCCCCAGCCTCCCGTCATGGCTCTCTGCAGCGTTCTGCCAGCGCCCCTACCTGAGGCCTCACTGCGTGGCAGCTAGTCAGACGGGGGAAGCCCCTGCCTGGCTGGGCCCATCAGGTGCTCTTCCGGGGAGTTCTGACTCAAGACTTAGGGAGCAATTTCATCTCTGTTGGGTGTGTCAGGCTGCCAGGAGGGACTGTGTCCACACACACCTGGAGAGCAGGAGCTGACTGGCAGGGAATTAGAGAAGACAGACCATGTCACCTCAGAAAGAAAGAGAAGGGGAGAGAGAGAAACAAGAGGAAGGGACATGGAGTGAGCCCCTTGGCTCCTGGTTCTTGTCCCTGGTGAAGCCTAACATCTAGGTTCCGCAAGACTCCCTCCTGCCCCTGAATCCTAGCTTAAAGCACATCTTTGTTCCTCCTGACAGATGGTTCGCAATGAAGCCACTCACGTTGCTGAAGATGTTTTTCTGCCAGTGAGAATCAGGGCTGCTATCCATGTTCCAGAAGCGGATGGTGTTGTCTGAGGAACAAGTCAGAAAAGATCCTGATGGCAAACAAGCTCTCTGATCTTCAAACTCAGGATACACCTACAGTTCCCAGAGAAGAAGGCAAAGGGTGATTCATTACAACCGCCTCAGTGACAGCACTATGATATGGTGCTGCTTTTTGGTGTGAGAAAAAAGTAAGTTAAGATAAACAGTGCAACACCGTCCATGTTAAAAATAAACAAAAAAAAAAAGGACACAAAATGCTATCATATGTCGTCCATATCCCACCTTCGACCCAGGCCTTAAAACATCCCCACAATTAAATTTTCAAAGAAAATGAGCAGCTCAGTCGAAAATCACTAAGTACAAAAGGAAACAAGGTACCATGAGCAAGAAGCAGCACAAACGAGAGTCTAGCAAGACTTCAAATATTGGACTTATCAGACAGAATATAAAGTAACTATGTTCAATATATGTAAAGAAATCAAAGGCAACTTTGACAAGATTAAAAGTGTATAGTCAACCAAAAGTTATAAAGATTAAACAAGTTGGGCTGAAAAAGAACAAAATAGAACTAATTTCAGAAATAAAAAACAAAACATATTAAAAACCAAAGATGAAATATAGTTAAAAAGAAAATTAAACTAGAAGATAGAATGAAAGATATATTTAGAATGAAGCTCAGGGGGACAAAGAAACAACATATAAAGAGATTTCAAAATATGGAAGGTTGGGTTCTGGGAAGATGATGATATCAGTAGTGTAGATTTTTTAATCTCTCAAAATTCCCATATAAAATCAACCAGATAGCAAAACCAAAACCCCATAAATGACATTTATAGCAAAACTAGGTGACAAAATATCCCTATAACCCCCAAAATACATGCAGGTAGGGATGAACCACTGCCAGTCACAAGACCTGCATGTCATCAGCATGTATGTGGGAGAAGTAATGCGGGATTTGACAGACCCAAGAACAGGATATCGCCAAAGTAGCCAACAGGTATTCACTGGGCCGAACTGAACCGTAGCTGAAACTGGGAGGGTTTTACCCACTCCGGTAGAGTTGAGTACAAGCAGTTGGCAGTAAGGCCTTGTTATTTATTGACGATGTTTCCAAGTTTACTTTCCCACCCAAATGTGAGCTCCATGAGGGCAGGAGTTTCTATCGGTTTCTTGTCAACTGTGTCCAGCACGTAGAACAGGGCCTAACACATAGTAGGGGTCAGTGAGTATCTTTAGAAGAAATTACTGAACAGGTTAGAAATTACTGAAACTGTGGAAGCTTCCTCCTCCTGAACCCCTCAGTGGAGGCTGAGCAGTGGCAGAGGGGAGAGGGGCTCACCTCCACGTTCCAGACGTAGGAGCTGTGGAAGAGCTCCGACCACATCTTGCCCACTTGGTTGATGTCCTTGACATCCCAGATGTAGATGCTGTGGTCCTTATACACGCAGGACAGCCACTGGTGGGTGGGGTCGAAGGTCAGTGCCACTGTATCTGGGTAGACTGCTTCTGCCTTCTTCTGGAAGAGAAAGCTAACAAGGCCACATGGGTCATCAATCACCATCAATGTCACCGTGCGTACTGACGGCCACCTGTAGTGACAGTGGAGCTGTCTTCTGCCTGGCAATGCCATCCCTCATGGTATTTGTGGCCCTCCATCTCTCCTACTCCAAGTCCACTTCTCCCTCTTCCGTCTTCCTTTGCTTTGCTTCTAATTAGAGGTTGCAAACTGGAAGCTTCTGCCTGGCCCTGCGAACATGTGAGTTTCCGACTCCTGTTAACGTTTTTCTTCCCTCAGTCCAAATAATCCAAGCTCCTGTCCTCTCTCTCTGAGCATGGAGGGATAATGGGCATGTACCTCAGGCCTCCTCGCTCCTTGGCCTCACCAACACATGATCACAAGTCCCTGTGTAAGGAGGCTGGGGAGCTGTCCCCTGGCCTGGGGCCTCCCTATAAAGGCTGTAGTTTACTGAGCACTTATCTTTGTGCCAGGATGAGGGTTTTGGCTGCAATAAATTCTCACAACCACCAGGAGTGGTAGGTACTATATTTTACAGATGAGAAAACTGAATCATAGGGAGGTGCAGTGACCTGCCTATGGCCACACAGCACACGCAGAAGGTGGCACAGCTAGGCAGCCTGGCTACTGCAACACACCACAACCTGTGGGTTGCTCACCCATCCTCTTTCCTTTGTGATACCCAGTCGCCCTGTTCAGGCTCTCTCTTGGAAAAGGCACCCGGAGCTGGTGTCCAGCAACCTACAAAGAGGCAGCCCCAGGCAAACCAGCACGCCCTGGTTAGGCAGCCGCCCTCTCCATAAGCCAGACTCACAGCAACGGGGAAGAGAAGCCACAGCTTAGCTCCTCCATCCGCTCCTGACACAACAGCCAAGGGATCCAACATGCAAGGCCTGGTCACTTAACTCCAGTGCCTGAAACCCCCAGTGGCTGCTCACGGACCTGAGACTAGACTACAGGATCCTCCCGCTGGCCTCGCCGGCTACTGTCTCCCCCGGCACACTGGGCTCTCGCCACAGCCCCTTGCTACCCCTGCAACATGACAAGCCCAGTGTGTTGTCCCCTTAAGGCCTTTACACTTGCTGCTGGGACCCCACTCTGCACACAGCTGGCTCCTTCTCACCAGACACCGATAACACAGCCCGGCCCTAGCACGCTCATTCCCAAGTCCTGCTTTATTGCACCAAAGCATTCACGACTATCTGAAATTATCTCGTTTGTGTGCTTACTCATCATCAAGGCCCCTCGCTAGACTGCACACTTTATGGTGGCAGAGATTTTGCTGCCTCATGATGGCTGTAACCTGCTTCCAGCCCAGGGCTGGCGCTCAGTAGCTGCTTAATAAGCGTCAGCCACATGGATGAAACACTCCACAATATTCACGCCTGCTCTGAGCTCTTCTCCTTCACAGCACTTAGCACTATCTGGAATTATTTTGTTTATCCCTTTGTTTGCTCACTGACTGCTTCTTGCCCCACCCAGCCTTGCCTCTCACCCTGGAGCTTGCCTCGGGAAGGCAGGCAATTTTCTGCTTTGTTCACCACAGTGACACCCAGGGCTGAGAGTAATCACTAGTATTTGTAGGATGGACAGACAGACAGATCCAGAAGCACAGATGGGTGCCAGTGGACAGGCTCTGGGTGGGCCCCACCCCCGCCAAGCAGTACCTGGGCTCCAGGCCCCGTGCCACGTCCACCCCAAGGTAGTGCGGCTTGGGCAGGTTGGCGAGGTAGTGCAGGCTGTGAGCCTGGAAGATGCGGACTATCCCGTCTGTGCAGCCACAGAAGATGAGCTCCTGGCTGACACAGAGGCAGGAAGACAGGGAGACCTGTGGGAGCAAACGGGACCCAAGTGGATTTGGTGCTTCATGTGGCCTGGCCCAGGGACACAGGGACTAACAGAGCAGCCTTGGGCCTCCAGAGATGACTTACAGTTCCTTGGGTCTGAGATGCCCACTGTAGCATATATTTTAAGATATTTGAAATCAGGATATAGCATACAGCCATTATGGAAGGACGCATGCCAGCAGGCAGACTGAGGCATGAGTCGGGACACATTTGTCACTGCTGTCTAGAGAGAAATGCAGCTGTGCGTGGAAAACATCCGTTCAGCAGACTGTAATTTCAGATGGGTCACTTGCAGCAACAGGGTTGAATCTGAGGTTTAAATTTTATTCCCTATTGCTTAAAAACAACTTCATAAAAATTATACTCCAAAGCAGCACAGAAAACAGTTATAGTAAAGGATGGACTATCTGTCCTATCAGGAAGTGCCAGACCGCTAGACACAGAGTAAAGGAGTTTTTCCAAATCTGCAGGAACTTAATTTATAAGTCATTAGTGCTCAGGCACAAAACGTCTGTTGAGTTTTTGACTTGCTTGAAGGCTGCTTAAATTCTAGCAAGAGGGTTAAAATGAGAAAAAAACAAAACGATGTTGAACCAACTAGGAGAGACAGACCACACTTGGAATTCTTCCACATGCCATTAACCCTAAAGGGGTTACAACTCTCGGGAAGTGAGTCACAGGGGCAGACTAGGAACAGGAGAGAAAACCGCAATGTTCCTGCTGGCAGCCAAATGGGCGAACCAACTCAGGGGAAACAGCCTGGAGTCAAACCTTCAGATACTGAAGGAAAGAAGGTCTGCAATTTACTGATACATCATCCTTTAGTTTAAAATTTTATGTATTTTGTGTAGTCTTTCTTGACTGGAAAATTATTAAGTCAGTGGTACCTTAGATTAAAAAAAATGCAGCCCTTCCAGCAGCCAAGAGTGCTTAATGCAGAGAAATGTGAACTGGATCAAACAGAGATGGGACGACGACCGTAACCTTGACTGAATTTCAGGGTGCCAGGCGCTGTGCTAACTGTCTTACAGAAATCATCTCGTATGACTTCCTTATCGACCCTGGGAGGAAGCAGCGGCCTTCCCACTTTACAGATGTGGAAGCTGAGGCTCAGGGAGAGGAGGCATCCACCAAGGGTCACAGGTCACGGGGAAGAGCGGCTCCCCCGCTGGCAGCAGAGAGGGAGGCGGGTACCTTCAGGTTGATCCACTTCTCCAGCACCCTCTTCTCGTTGAACTGGCAGAGCAGGCCCGAGTAGGACACGCAGAAGGTACTGCCTGCCATCTGGCCCCGGCCACAGGCCACGCCACAGAAGATGTTGTTGTGCAGCTCACCCAAGATGCCTGAACGCCCTACGAGGGGCACCGTGCCTGTCACCTGGAGGCATAGCAGGGCTCAGTGAGACGCTGCCTGGGCTCCAACAGGGCCACAGTGGGCCACAGGATACGACACAGCTAAACAGGAGAACTCTAAGAAACACTTCCAAGTGGAAAAGGAAAGAAAACACCAGAACACTGCCACTCTGGGCGGAGGGGCTAGAGGGCAGTGGTCTGAGAATGAGGTCTGGCCCCAGGGTCAGGGGGGCTCCCAGCAGGGCCTGCCAGTCAGCACCTGCAGAGCAGGCCCAGAAGCAGAATCTGGCCTCCCGGGAGGCCCGTTGACCTCTAAGACCACCGCCCCCAAGAAACAGGAGCCCCTGCTGCTGCTAATGGTGACTCCCTCAGGGCCTGGCAGAGGTAGTGGGGACAGAAACTCACCTTTGTTTCAGTGGAGACCTCTAAGAACCAGAACCTCACGTGCCGGTTCCCAACAGTGACAAAATAGCTGCTGTCCTCTGAAAAGGAGAGGGCGATGACTCTGCATGATACCTTGTTGGAGGCCACCACGATGTCTTTCTGGAAGAATCAGTGCCGAAAAGCTCATACTAGCACCCATCCCGCTGGACTCCTTGTGCCTCCGCCCTCAGCCCCGGTCTCCCCACTCATCCCTGCTCCAAGTTCGTTTTCTGTGGAGCCTGCAGGGAGCTGCTTTGTGGGGAAACCTACGCGCAGCGCTCTCGTCACCCCCAGTCTACGGGGGAGACCGAGGCCTGGAGCAGTCCTCACAGAGGCCGTGTTCCAGAGCTCTCTCCGCGGAACCCCCTCAACAGCCCTAGAAGGGCGGTGCTTCTCCCCCACCTGCCGGGCTCAGAGTGGGCGACGCCATGTGCTCCAGGTCACATCGTCGGTTACAGCAGAGCCAGGACTTGGTACCCACTGCTGCTGCCTCCAAGTCCTCTCCCAGCTGTTCCAAAGTCCAGCCCACTAGTGCATGTCAACTTGCTAAAGTCTCACAATTCCCAAGGGAGATGCTATTCGACCCAATTAACAGATGAAGAAACAGACTCACAGAGAGATTAAGTCACTTGCCTAAGGTCACAGCTAGTCAATATAAAAATAATCATAATAGTTCCACTAGCTGAGAGCCTGTCACATGCCCTATACTAAGGGATCAGCATGTAGTAGGTGCTCAGTAAACATTCGCTGGGTGAATGAGCACTTTACCAAGTTATCTCAGTTCTCCCAATGCCCGAGGCTCAGGATGCTCTGGCAACTGGCTGCCTGCCCACCAGCTCTCACCTTCCAGTCCCAGACGTTCAGTACCATGTCATGCTGGTAGCCCATGGACACAATGTGCTTCATATTCGGTGAGAAGGCCACGCAGGCCACACCATACTTGTGGCCCAGCATCTCCGCCACCTGACTTTTCTCCTCCACGTCCCAGATGCGCACGGCAGGTCTGTGCCCATTCTGGGGAAGACAGGGCCATTACTGCTGCTGGGCTCTGTACCAGGTAGGGGTAGAGGGGCTGTCAGGGCTGAAGTTGGTGCTGCCACAGGGTATACCCAAAAGCCACTTCCCTGGTCTGCCAAGGGGCTTTTCTGCCCTAGGAAGGAGCTATTCCAGGGACTGGACACCCAGGCCTGTTGGGAGCAGAAGGAATGGCCCCAAGACCCTCCCCTCCAAGCGCTCAACTGTGATTGTGACTCACCTCCCCCGTCACTATGTACTTCCCATCAGGGGAGAAGGCCACAGCACTCAGAGACTTCCTGGGGACAAGGAAAGGAGTTGATCACTGGTTCCACGGAGGGTGGGCAGCCAGACCCCAGCCTGGACACACTCATAGCACTCTGCCACTCCTGGCTCCCAAGCCTTGAAAGAGGCCAAGAGGCGTGAGCTCGAGTAGCTCCCAAGGAGTCCAGCACTGCACACAGGAAATGGGGGCAAAAGCAAAGGCCCCTTCCACCCTCAAACACCGAACCCCAAATGGGGTGGACACTGTTCAGAGACCCTGCCTTCCTCCCCCTCTGCAGAGGTGGGCGCCCTAAGATCCCACCCACCCTGTAACCCTAAGAAATACTGACGCAGGAAATGGTACAGACCTGGCCTAACTAAAAGGGTGGTGCTGATAGGAGGGCCCTGGCAGATGTCACGCGAGACAGCCTATGGCATGTGCTCCACAGCTGAACACTCGAGGTGTTCTGGAAAACCTATCAACGACCAAAATGTTTCCCTCCGATACTCCTAGCTAGCCTGCAAAAGACTGAATGACCTCATCTGCACATTTTCTGGCAGCAAGATTTACCATTGTATAGTTTTTTTCCTCTCCCTTCTTACTTTTAATCCTGTTTTTCCCTTGTTCCTTAACAGTCTAGCCATCACATGAGTTAGTAAACTGGCTTGCAGATAACTAAGTAAATGCCTCTTAGTGAGACCTCGACAACCTAATGGAATATTTATCATCATCAAGTCAACCCTCTGGTGGCTTCCTATCGCAACTTTCACTACTTAAGGCAGCAGGGGCGCTGCCTACCCAATATCCACTTGCCCCCTCCTTCCTCACTGACATAAGCCCAATTTTAATTGGGACGGTAACGTGCTCAGCTACAGGACATTTCTCAGTTCTCTTGCAGTGACACAGGTACAGCTACATGACTCAGTCTAGCCAACGAGAGGTAAACTGAGGCACTGCATGGGACTTTCAGAAATGGTCCTCGAAGGGAAAGCTTTGCCCTGTTCCCCTCCTGAAACGAGGACATGACAGTCAGAATTCCATCTTGGGGCCAGGCGCGGTGGCTCAGACCTGTAATCCTAGCACTCTGGGAGGCCGAGGTGGGACGATCGTTTGAGCTCAGGAGTTCGAGACCAGCCTGAGCAAGAGTGAGACCCTGTTTCTACTAAAAATAGAAGGAAATTAGCTGGACAAGTAAAAATCTAAAAATATACAGAAAAAATGCACCGGGCATGGTGGCACATGCCTGTAGTCCCAGCTACTCAGGAGGCTGAGGCAGGAGGATCGCTTGAGCCCAGGAGTTTGAGGTTGCTGTGAGCTAGGCTGACACCATAGCACTCTAGCCCCGGCATCAGAGTGAGACTCTGTCTCAAAAAAAAAAAAAAAAAGAATTCCATCTTGGGCCAAGAGGCAACCTCAAGAACAGAAGCCTTACAGTAAGTGTGGCAGAACAGAAAGACAGGAGTGGGGTCCCTGGTTCTCACAGACACCCCAGCCCCCTGGGCGGCCCACCTCCACACTTCTCACATGCCGAAAGAGCATGCCCTTTGTTTTAAGCCATGCTTGTTGTTGTCTTCTGTCGTCTATAGCCACCCCTAACCTGGGCCTCGCTTCTGGCAAACGCTATATAGGCATCACTGCACTGAGTCCTCACGTATGCTCTGTGGAGCCAGGACTCTCGTTGGCCAATTTTGCAGATGGGGAGAACCCAACACAGGGAAGTCCCCTGCCCGAGGTTGCCAAACCGGACAGGACAGAGCCCTGACCTCTAGGCCAGTAGTTCCCAGTCCTGGCTGCACATCAGAATTCCCTGGGGAGCTTTTGAAAACCGTCAAAGCCTTGCTAAGACTAGGTGAGTGAAAGTTTGGTGAGGAAGTGGATAATATTTGCACAATCTCAGAGAAGATACTTGCTAATCACAAAGGGGAAAAGTGATGTTTTGAAGTGGAGAAACCTGGCAGATACCAATCACGGGGACCTCCTGGTAGGACGCACCAAGAGCACAGCATTCCTTCTGAGGTGCTCCTGCCAGACACGCAGGACTGAAGCTGTCCCTGAGGAAACATCAGACAAACCCAAATGTCGGGACAGTCTATAAAACCTAGTCCGTAATCCTGAGGGATTATGAAAGGTCATGGAAGTCAAGAAAAGACAGAGGAGCTGCTTCAGGACACTAAAGGAGCTGCTGGAGGTCACGACAGGGACAACTACGTGCAATATGTGATTCTGGACAGAATCCTTCGGCTATAAAGGACATTCTTGGGACAAACGGTAAAACCTGAATGGAGTCATCTGAGGAGAAGATGGTAGTGATGCGACAATTTTAATTTCCTGATTTTCTCGGATGTATTGCAGTTTTGAAGGATTATATCCTAATTTTTTTTGTAGGAAATAGACAATGAAGTATTTAGAGATAGAGGGGCATCGTGTCTGCAACTTACTCTCAAACAGTTCAGAAAAAAATTAATGTGTATATAGACAGAGGATGCTAAAATAAATGTGGTAAAATGTTAGAATTTAGAAAATATGAGTGAAAGATATATAGGTGCCCTTTGCACTATTCTTGTAAGTCTGTAATTATTTCAGTAAAAAAAACTTAAAAAAAAAAAAAAAACTTTAAAAATTGCCAGTGTCCAGGTCTCCCCGCAGCTGATTGAGCCTTCTCCAGGGTGAGGCCCAGGGACCAGGTGACTGACAGGAGGCGAGGGTGGAAACCCCCACCCTGGCCACACCACCTCCTGAGACAGACCCACTGGTGCTGAGGGTGGACATTTCCATGCCATCCGCTCCAGATCAGGGTCATCCACTCCACTGCCTACAGGCATTAGGGAAGCAGCACAGATGACAGGAACTCGGGTCCGACAAAAGCCACTAAGCTCCATCCATCACTGCCACAGGGGAATGTGGGCCCCAGAGGCCAGAATTTCTCACTTTTCCAAAATGAGAGGGACATTTGGAATTTTGTGTAAAGAAACTTTAAATGTCGCCAACTAATTCCAATCATTAAAACATACCATGTCAGGCAAGTCCGTGGGCCTCTGGTTTGCAACTATGGCCTTACAAACACTCACAACTGGAGGCAGCTATTTTGTTCCCAAAGGAGGCCAAGGCTTGGAAAGAAGTATTTCACCTCAGATCACACGTGAATAAACACCTGACCCAGGACTACAAGCCAGCTCCACCCTCACTGCCAGTGACAGAACCCACAGTTAGGAGCCAACCATCCAAAAACCACTTTCAAGAGTAAATCTATTTCTGTCACCTAACAAGGACCCGCCATAGCTTGAAGACCACATCTTAAGGACTGTAAGGGAAGGAGAAAACCCACACCTTATCCATCCACTGGAGAACAAGGAGCTGAGCTTGAGCTATGCCAAGGAGGGACATGTGGCGCCTTCTCAAAAGTCATAACCCTGTTGGACCATATTCCCAGGGTGACACAGTGATCAATCGGTCCCAAGGTAGAAGGTACCAACCTCGGCCCACTCACGGCCAAGGGCTTTCCCCGGTAAACTCGCAGCTGAAGGGATCTTTCAAAAACCCAAATCACATTCACTCATTCATTCATTCAGGAAATAGCAAGTGCCACCAATGTGCCAGACACTGCTCTCAAGTGCTAGGGACACAGAAATGAACTGAGAGAAAAAGTCCCTGCCCTCAGAGAGCTCACACTGTGGAAGGGAGACAGTGAGGAAATTAGATAGCATTATCATTTAAAGGAGTAAATTTTATGGAGAAAAGTAAGCAGGGAAGGGAGACAGAGCGTGCTCGTGGGCTGGGAGGTGGAAAGCACATCCCTGGCCTGTAAATGCCCGAGCGGCTTGTCTTTGTACTCAGTATACTATCCAACCCCTCTCCGAGGCCCATGTGATGTGGCTTCTGCCTGTTCCAGCCTCATGTCCCCTCACCTGCTCCCCTATTCCCGAGGCTCCCTCAGATCCTTGGCTGCTGCTAAACCACCTGAGATCCTGAACCACTGCAAGGCCTTCGCCCCTGCTCCTCCCGCTGCCTGGAGCGCCCTCCCTGCGCCTTCTCACAGGTCACCCTCTCACTTCCTTCAGGTCTCAGCATCGGGGAGGCCTTCCCTGAGCCCTCCGACAGGGCTTTCCCACATTCTCTGCCCGCGACCTGCCACCATTCCCTCTACAGCACTGGGCATGATCAGCTAGGAATCTGCTGACCAGTTTAGTCTCGCCCTCTGGGCTGTCAGCTCTAGACAGCAGAGATTCTCATCTCTTGTGTTCACTGCTATGTCCCCAGCACCTGGAACAGCACCTAGCACAGAGCAGACACTTGGTGAATGTCGCTAAACCAATGGGTGGGTGAATAAGTGAGTAACCTACCCGTGAGTACCTCCTGGCATGGTGGGGAAGGGGGTGGGCCGAGACCCTGGTCCCACCCCTACCCCCTGCCCAGGCCCCAGCCTACCTGGCGGTATTAAAGATGTGCTGCTGCTTGTTCTCCTTGGGGTTCAAGATCACCACCACACAGCTGGGGAGAAAGAGGAAAATGTGCCTCAGCTGGAGGGAGTGTTGGGATCCAGAGATGATTCTATTCCCAACTGCAAAGCCCACATGTAAACAAGCCCCCCCTGAACAGAAGATGCTCGCTGGTCTCCTCCTCCTCCAGCTGTTTACGCTGAGAACTCTAAGGCATTTAACATTATATTAATATGCTCTTAAACACAAACCAACACTTCCTCCATGGTAACTATTCCGTCCGGCCCTAAGCTTAAAAGACCTTATGCGCACGGCCTCTTTAAATCCTCATAACTGCCCAGTGAGGTCAGGCCTCTTTAGGCCCATTTTACAGACGAGGAAACTGAAAGCCTGAGAGGGTAAGTCCTTTGCACAGTGTCGCGCTACATCAGTATTTGTGGAATAAACAGCTCCAGGGTCCCCTTCAGTCCTCTCAACTGCCCGAGCAGAGGCTATCGCCAGTTCTGTTTCATAGAGGCAGAAGCAGAGGCTCAGAGCGCAGCACACATGGTAGAGCTGGGACACAAATCCAGGTTACGCCACCCACCTATGGTGACAATCAAGGCTTTCATAGCACTCACTACACGCCAGGGACTACTCTAGACACAGACGGGCCCGTGGAATCCTCCCCAGAGCCCTCAGATGTAGGCGGCATTATCCACATTCTCAGCCGGAAGAGCCAAGGCCAGGAGAGATTCACTGATGACTTCAGGCTCCAAATTCCCCAGCAATGATTGAATCCAAGGCCCGCTTGTTTGCTTACCCTGCCAGGTAGGCCACATGGCCTGTGCCAGGGTCACAGGTTAGGCCACTGCTGTTCTGGGCTGTGATGCCAAGCACCTTCTCGAGTGACACCTGCAAAGAAAAGGCCCAAGTCAGAGCACCTGCCCCAGCAGGCCCCACACAGCACAGCCACTTCGGCCACCCATTCGGTTCCTACTGCATTCAGCACACACTCATTGAGCTTCTGTAGTCGAGCTACCTACCAGCAGCTAACACTTGTTTTTCTCAACAGTCCTTTGACAAATACATAGTGCTGGGTGAAGGGCAGAGTGGTGGGGAAGACAGAAAACTCCCTGCCCTCCTGGAGCTCACATTCTGCGGGTGATGGGGATGGAGGACATAGAAAGAGAGCAGAACTAATATGTAAAATAGATGTCGGGTGATGATAGGAGCAATAGAGAAGAATAAAGCAGAGAAGGGGACTGAGAGTGCAGGGGAAGGGAGAGAGTGACGCAGTGAGAAGGTGACCTGTGAATCAGTTTCTAAGAACTTTTATATGAACGAAAGACTTGAATCCCTTCAACGAGCCAAGGAAGAAGGCTCTATTATCACCCCTACTTTACAGATGAGGACACTGACGCCCAAGATCCTACACCTGGGAGTGGCAAGGTTGGGCTACAGACCCAGGCTCCAAAGCCAGCACTTTGGGCCCTGCAGGGGAAGCACAGTAGTGAGCAAAAGGAGACACCGTTCCCTCATCAAATTCAAAGTCCAGAGGTTCTAGAGGTTTCAACAATTAAAGAAACAAGTGAATAATCACATTTAAAATTTAAACAGTTCTCAAAGCAAAATAAGTTAAAGTGGCTAGACCCCATCATGGTTGATTCAACAATTTATATAGATTATGGACTAACAGAATTGTGTTATTTTCATATCTTGAATAGACTAGTTTCTAATTATTATAGAATAAACCATTCTCAAGCAAGTCCTTGGCCTCAGAATTGAAAGGCAATTATTATGGATAATAATAGCTAACATTTATTGAGCATTTACCAGAAGCCAGGCACTGTTCAAATACCTGTAACCACATTAAGTTATTTAATGCTCACAATAACCCTAATTACAGTCACTATCATCATCATCACCCCCATCTTACAGATGAGGAACGAGAGGCCCAGAGGAGTTACCCACCCAGGAAGGAGCCAGGATTCTAACACAGACAACCAAGCAATGGCTCTCATGTTGTTTTATCTGTTGAGCAGCATTACTAGGCATTAGTATAACTGGTCATTTTTAGACTATGCCTTTTGCAAGCCAGATGGTCTCTGTGTTGCCCAAACAAGAAACATAAATAAATGACATTACGCAACATACACAATATTAGCTAAATAACAATATTAGCTAACTAAGAATACGTGCAATGTGCCAGGTGTTGTTCTAAGTGATTAAGCTATGTGATTAAGTGATTAAGCTCATTTAATCCTCGCAAATATCCTATGAGGGATTTCTACATCATTATTCCCATTTTACAGGTGAGGAAACTGAGGCACACAAAAGTTCATAACTTGCTAGGAAGAACAGGATTAAGGTTTAAGCTCAGGCAGTCTGGGTCCAACTAGACTGTCCAGGAGTCTGTGCTCTTAACCACCTTGCTATATTATGCTGCCTCTCTGAATTTCCTGTAGTATTCTCTTACATACATAGTTTAAGAGCTCACAAGGCACTGTCGGGAACACACAAGATAAGGGCTATGAAATACAGGGCACGGGGCGTCTGCTTTGGAGTGGGATTCAAGAAGGCCTTTCAGGGTAGGGATACTCAGGCTGAGACTTGAGGGATGCGGGAGCCAGCCAGGCAGACTGTCACAAAAAGCCCAGGCAAAGGACACACCAAACACAAAGGCAGAAGCAGAAAAGAACTTGGAGCCTCAGGAAAACAGAAAACAGGCCAGTGTGGCTGAACCTTGGTGAGAGGGAGGACATGGGAGGTACAGCCAGAGGGGTGGGCAAGGGTCACTTAAAGCCCTGTAGCCAGGAGTGGATGAACGAATCAGGGCTCAGCAGGGAGAAGGAAACCACGGAGCAGGAACAAAGATCCAGTAGCAGCTACCATGTATCCACCCTCTATCTGGACTCTGTGCCAAAATGGTCACAGTCACAATTCCATCTCCCTGCAACACGATGTTACTGTTACATTCATTTTACAAAAAGAGACTTTGTACCTAGAGAGTTGCTGAGCAATTTTTTAGATTGCTGCCGGGCTAATGGAATTCCTTCTACCCACTCTAAAATCATTTCCTTCCGTGTTTCTGTGTCTCAGGATTTACAAAATCGTTCTGTATGCCCTCCTCCCGAGGCTGCTGAGATTTTACAAATAATTTCTCACATCCTCTCCGCAGTTCTGAGTGGTAATATGGACTAGGAATCCCCCGTTTGTTGGGGGAGGGGGCCGGGGCGGGCGGGTTTTTTGGGAGGGCGGGCCGGCCCGGGGGAGGGGTTGGGGCGGCCGGCCTTTTGGCTTGATTCCGGTTGGGGCCTTTGAGGCCCCGGGGGGGGCGGGTTCACCAAAGTTGAAGGGGGGCGGGGGGTTCTTTAAGGGTTCCGGACCTGGGTTTAGGTTTCGGGGGGCTTGGGTTTTGTTTTGCGGAGGGTTAAGGCTTCGGGGGGGTTGGGGCTCGGTGGGGACCCCTGGGAGGGTTCCGTGCCGAGGGTGGGGCACGGAATGATGGGCAGGACGGAAGAGAGGAGACGGAAAGTGGGAGGAACGTCGACCTAGTGGGCGGGGCTTAGGAGATGAGGCGGGGCGGCGGAGCAAGCTGAGGGGAAGAGCCGGGGACCCGTAGGCGGAGACAGAGATTTTCAGACGGGACCAGGGGCGGGCCAGGGAAGCCTGGAACCCGAGTAGGCATGGCGAGTAACTCCTCACCCTGTTGTGCGCCGTGTCCTCGGGCGCCGCCGGGAGTCGCGTCCGCCGCCGGAGGCAGAGCGGCGGGGCAGGGGGCGGGGAGGACTGGTTCCTCCGCGCTGGAACTCCCGCTGTGACAGAAGAAAGCTTCTCAACCGCATCGGTCCGCGCATAGCCCCCGGACCCTAGGGCCGCCATCGCCGCGCCGGAGCCGGGCGGCCGTTACACTCCTTAACCGCCGCCGCCGCCGCCGCCGCCACGACCCACTCAAATAGCGAACAGCCGCGGGAAAGCCGGCGCCACCGCCCATTGGACGCGGCGGGCCGCCGGTCTAGCCAATCCGAAGGCTACCAAGCGGCGCTTACGACCAATGGGGGCTAAGAGGCGGAGCGGAGCGTCTGGCCGGGCGGGGCCACAGCCAGTCCCTTCGGTGCTTGATCAAGCCTCGCGGGGTTTGTCATGCAGTCTGCGTTTTCGTCGTTCATGAAACATACAGGCTCTAACTTTTACGAGGCCAAGGCCACACCGCACCGTTTGCTGTCCCTCAGGGAGACTATCCGTGCTGTGGCAGTCGCCCGGATGTAAGCGTAGGGAGGAGCCGAAAGAGACTGGCAGGCCGGTCAATTTGGTGGGTGCAGGCTCAGAAACACCGTGACGTCACCTCCGCCCCAGCACGTGATGAAGATCAGGGGTGGCAAGGGTCGGCTTTGCGCAGACGTACAGTCCCAGCTTGTCCCCATTCGCCGCGTGACAAGGGCGTAGCTGTGATTACGCAGAGGGGTGCCTAGTACGCAGGCGCGCTCAACTTTCCCCCCCGGCACGTGACGCGGCACTGAGGGCGTCACGTGAAGCAGGCGCGCGCGGGCGGGGCAGGGCGCGGGGGCGCTCGGCGAGGACCAGAGTGCAGGCGCTGACCCGGCAAAACTCAGCCGGGCTGGACAGCCATGCCCAAGTACTGCAGGGCTCCGAACTGCTCCAACACTGCCGGCCGACTGGGCGCGGACAACCGCCCCGTGAGCTTCTACAAGTGAGCGCCAGCGTGGGGCGGGGCTTGAGGGGGCGGGGCCCTGGAAGGGGCGGGGCCCGAGGAAAAATGTATTAATTTAAGCTGTGCCCGGCACCTGGTCCGGCTTGAGGGTGTTAGGAAGTAAAGTTAGAAAAGGTGAGGACACCGTATTCTCAGCAGTGAACACTGCGCATGCAAAGGTGCACACGTGTGAAACGGCAGGGGTAGATGATTAACTACAAGTAGTGAACAGAGCGAGCAGAAGAGGAGGGAGGGATCTGTAGGGGAGAAGTGAGGTTGGTCCAAGACTCTGTAAGAGCCTGCAGCTGCCCACTCCCCATCTCCACGAACTGGAGCCATCTCCCACTCAAACCATCCGAAACTGAGCTTCTGATCTTGTCTCTCCCCAACACCTTCCACAGCCTTTCCTGTCCTAGTTAATAGCTTACTCCATCCTTTCTGTTGCTCAGGCTGAAAACCTTAGAGTCATCCTTACCTCTTCTCTTTCCTCACGCTTAGGAAAGTCAGAATTACCTTGGACTGTAAAAAACCTGCCCTCCTGTTTATCTGGCTGAAATAACAGACACGGGGAAAAGCCAGCTCCAGAATTATTAGGAAAAAATATTTCTCTCAGGGACGTGCTGCAGATGTAAAGTGGCAGAACTTCTACTTTGAGTAACTACTGCTTTCTCACTCACTGGGAAACTTTTCTTCTCTAAAATCAGAGACTATTACAAACCTGGCTGTTAGAAATTATATTAGTACGAATGAAACATTTCACTTTCTCCTGGAGGAGCTAAGTCACTTTGACACAGAAAAGCATCCTTGATTAACAGCCCAGGTTGTGAGCTTCAGGTAAGGGGTTTGGGGACACAATATTCCACGCCTATCTAAACTTTTATTGCTTCCAAGAAGACAGGACCCTGGGCCCACTTAGCAATCCAGACCTGATATCAATCCCTTGACACACAGTTTTCATTTTGCTTTGAGCTGATCCAAACACTGTTTCATTTACATTTTGCCTTAATTTCACCCTTCCCCCATACCAAATAACAACTCTGTCTTCTGCTTCGTTTGGTGAGGCTCCCCATGGTATGTCTGGTGTACAGACTCCCTCATTGCCATGATAAATAAACAACTTCTGTTGGTCTACAGGTTTGTCCCTGGTGATCTTAGCCAAAGTGGGCTGGGACATATGCCTCATCCAGACCATCAGCAAATCCTGTTCTCCCTTTAAAATCTGTCCAGAATTTGATCACTTCTAACCCCCTCCTCTGCCCCCACCCTTAATTCTCCCTGTCTGCCTCCTGCTTTATTTTTCCCTGTAATGCATCACTATCTGGCATATCACATATTTGATGTATTCATTCATTGTCTCCCCCACTAGAATGTCAGTTCCATGAAGCCAGGGAATTTTGATTCTCTTGTTTTCTGTTGTGTCCCCAGCCTCTAAAACAGTGCCTGGCACATAATGGGTGCTCAGTAAATATTTTTTGGGTGGATTCAGCAAATATATTTCAGATGGGCTCCCCAGGAAACCCGGCAGTCCATGCCCCAGGTATCCTTTGAGGGACCCTGGTGCAGGCCAGAAGGAGTGCAGGGGAGTCTTTAAGCCTACATCAGTGTGTCCAGACTTGCTTATTACTTTTAATTTTATTTTTCTTAGAGACAGTGTCTCGCTCTGTCACCCTAGGCTAGAGTGCAATGCTACAATCATAGGATCATAGCTCACTGCAGCCTTGAACTCTTGGGTTCAAGTGATCCTCCTGCCTCAGCCTCCTGTATGGCTAGGACTACAGGCATGTGCCAGGCCATTCCCCATACAGGCTAGCTCATTCCACCTCGGGCCTACCCCTGAGTCTTAGCTAAGAGCTGAGGAGCAGTTTCCAAAAGAGATTAAGGAGAAGGCATGGATGCCAGGTAGGGAATAAGGTGAAACATGTTGAGGGATGTGGCTGCCAGGAAATAACTTGTGAGCCTGCCTGGCAGCCAAAGGGAACATTCATTAGCTCTGTTTAGGCCCTTTCAAGGACAAGTGGTAGTCACCTCTAATGGGTGCCCTATCAGTTAGGAATTGCATCTATCAGTACAGAGGTTGTCAGACCAGCACTGGTATGGCAGCTCCATATCATCAGAGATGAGCATCGTTTCATTCTGCTCCATCATCCTTTGCATGTGGCTTCCATCCAAGATGGCAGCCAGTGCCCCAGCCACCATGCCCTGCCATTCCTAGGAGGAAGAATAGGGAAGGGAGGAAGAGCAAAAAGGATTCAGCTCTAAACTGAGTTGGCCCCCTTTACAAGGCCTTCCCAGAAACCCCATCCAATGGCAACTGCATCATTGGTCACCCCCAACTGTGAAAGAGGCTGAGAAATGTGGTCTTTTAGCTGGGCATTATACCACCATAAGACATTTTGAGTTATGTTAGTAAGGAAGAAAAGAAGAACTTCTAGCAGTGTATGCCACTCCATGCTCTAGATTAGATGACAGTGAGACTATAATAGTCTATAAAAAGGAGAACATTTGCTGTCCACTTAAGGTAGGTTTTTAGAGAGGGATATTGCCCGTTTCAGATGCTGCTATCCAGAGGAACAAAAGAGAGTAAGACCAATTAAGGAGAGGTTTCTTATGATATTCACTTTCTTCCTTTGCCCTTTGAGCTACTCTGATTGCATTTGAGCATCCCTTCCCATTTAAGACACCATCCCAGAGGTCCCACACAACACTAAAGCGTTTGTTGGCCGGAACTTAGTCACATGGCCCCATCTAGCTGCAAAGGAGCCTGGAAAATACAGTCTTTTAGCAGGACACATTGTGGGTTCAAATAAAGTTGGAGGTTTGTTGGTAAGGAAAAAGAAAAAAGTGGATGTGGAGCGGTCGGCAGTCTCTGCCAGGGAGGGGTGGGGTTGGAGGGTGCCGCTGCAGTGGATCTCATGTTTGTGTCAAGGAAGAATGAGGCTGGTGAGAACATTTGGGTCCCAGATGGAGGCTGAAGGGACTGCAGCACCCAGACTCCCTGGCTGTGTGCCCTGAGGTTCTGTTCTTTGGGTGCCACGTTTCTCTGAATCAGCCCTTCTGTCCTCTTTCACCAGCTGCTCCCCACCAACCCCCATCTGCCTTTAGTCTGAGAAGTCTTGTTGCCCGCAATCTTTGTCCATCCCATCTACCTCCCCTCTACTGGTAGCCTCTCTGGTTTTGTTTTGTTTTGTTTTGTTTCTTGTTTCTTTTTCGTAGAGATGAGGTCTTGCTATGTTGTCCAGGCTGGTCTCAAACTCCTACACTGAAGTGATCCACCTGCTTCGGCCTCTCAAAGTGCTGAATATACAGGCATGAGCCACCACGCCCCGCCCTCCTCTTATGTGTCCTTCCCATGGTTTCTTTTTGCAAATATAAGCAAATTTGAATATACATTCTTATTTCTCCCTTTATTACAGTATTAGTTTCCTGTGGCTGCTATAACAAACTTGGTGGCTTAAAAGAAGAGAAATTATTCTCTTAGAGTTCTGGAGGCCACAAATTCCAGTCAGCTTTACTGGGCCAAAATCAAGGTGTTGGCCAGGCTGTAATCCTTTGGAGGTTCTAGGGGACAATCTGTCCTTGCCTCTTCCAGTTTCTGGTGGCTGTAGGCATTCCTTGGCTGTGGCCACATCTCTCCAATCTCTGCAGTCACATTGCCTTTTCTTTGGCTGTAATAATGTCTTTTCTTGCCTCTTATAAAGATATTTGTGATGGCATTTAGTGCCAACCTGATGATTCAGGATAATTCCCCATCCCATCCCAAGATCCTTAACTCGATCATATCTTTTGTCATGTAAGATAATATTCATGGTTTCCAGGGATTAGGACATGGCTATTTTGGGGGGGGCCTTTATTCAGCCCCTGCAATGACTAAAAGCTGATATACTCTGTTTGGAACCGTGCACTTGTCACATAATGTGTGCCTGACAATAGCATGTCAGTTCATAGAATGCCTCCACATTCTGCTTTATAGCTGCTTAATGTTCTTTCCTGTGGATATGCCTGGAGTTTATTTACCCTGTCTCCTGTGGGTAGTATTGGCCCAGATTCTCTTAACACTCATCATGCTTCCTTTCAACGGAGAGAGAGCAGGCCTCAGGCTCATAGCTCTCATCAGGTCCAGATATCCAGTGTTTTTATGGTTAACTTCTATTCATGGTTTTCCATTTTCAATTGTGGTATAAAGTTTCTCTTGTCAGTATCTTCGTTTAATACTTAAAGTTGGTTAATTTGAAGAAAAATGTTAAGTAAATAATGTCACTGATATGGAAAACATTGTGAAGATGGGGTGGGCGTGACTGACTGATGGTTATCTGATGCTACATAACAAACTGTCTCAAAATTTAACAGCTTAAAATAAACATTTACTATCTCACAGTTTCTGGCAGCTGCTACAGGACAGACTAGCCAGGAATTGATTGTATGGTCAACCCTGGCTGCAAATGAGGCTGGAAAATGAGGTCTTTATAGTGGACAGCTTTGAACCCAGGTTTACATACAGAGTGTATTACTAAGAGGGCAAGAGCGGATGTTGGGGACAGGTGGTACCAGGACACACTTAGCAGTGAGCACCTTTAGAGGGTGCCTCATCAGGTAATCCCTACCCACTCCCACTGAGAGATCTTTTATTAATATTTAGCTCATTTTTTTAACTTTATAAAAAATATTTTTAATTGTGGTAGAATACATATAACATCAACCACATGAACCATTCTTAAGTGTTCAGTTCCCATTGTTACGCAACCAGTCTCCAGGATATTTTCATCTTGTAAAACTGAAACACTATCCTCATCGAACAATTCCCTATTCCCCCTCTCCAGCTCTTGGCAACTGCCATTCCACTTCTCATCCCTATAAATTTTGCCTACTCTATCTCATATAAGTGGAATCATCAGTATTTGTCTCTTTGTGACTGGCTTATTTTACTTCCCATAATGTCAGCCACGGTTTATCCATGTTGTCAAGTGTCAGAATTTCTTTTCAAGACTAATATTCCATGGTATGTATATGCTACATTTTGCTTATTCATTCGTCAACAGACACTTCCACCTTTTGGCAGTTGTAAATTATACTGCTGTGAACATGGATGTCCTAGTATCTCTTCGAGACCCTGTTTTCAATTCTTTTGGGTATATTGGAATTAGTGGATCAGACAGTAATTCTATTTTTCATTTTTTTGAGGAACTGCCATATTGTTTTCCATAGTGGCTCCACCGTTTTACATTCCCAAGAGAGCACAAGGGTTCCAGTTTCTCCATGTTCTCAAGCACACTTACGATTTTCTGTTTTCTTTTTTAATAGTAGCAATTCCGATATTCATAAGGTAATATTTCATCATGATTTTGATTTGTATTTTTCTAATGATTAGTGATGTTAAATATCTTTTCATATGCTTGTTGGCCGTTTGTATATCTTCTTTAAAGAAACATCTGTTCAAGTCCTTTGCCTATTTTTGAATCTGGTTATTTGGTTTTTTTGTTTGTTTGTTTGTTTGTTTTGAGGCAGAGTCTCACTCTGTTGCCCAGGGTAGAGTGCCGTGGCGTCAGCCTAGCTCACAGCAACCTCAAACTCCTGGGCTCAAGCAATCCTTCTGCCTCAGCCTCCCGAGTAGCTGGGACTACAGGCATGCGCCACCATGCCCGGCTAATTTTTTCTATGTATTTTTAGTTGTCCAATTAATTTCTTTCTATTTTTAGTAGAGACGGGGTCTCGCTCTTGCTCAGGCTGGTTTTGAACTCCTGAGCTCAAACAATCCGCCCGCCTGGGCCTCCCAGAGAGCTAGGATTACAGGCGTGAGCCACCGCGCCCGGCCTGGTTATCTGGTTTTTATTGTTGTGAGTTGTTTAAAAGCTTTTTCATGGGTATTTTCAAGCACACACAAAAGCAGAGTTGCATAATGAATCTTCACGTATCCATCACTCAGTTTCACCATTCTTTTTCATTTTGTCAATATTTTTCACTGCCCCCATCCATACCTGTAAGTTTTTTGTCCTGCAGTATTTTAAAGTAAATCCCAGCCAGGCGCGGTGGCTCGTGCCTCTAATCTCAGCACTTTGGGAGGCCAAGGCGAGAGGGTCACTTGAGGCCAGGAGTTAGAGACTGGCCTGTGCAAGAGCAAGACCCCATCTCTACAAAAAATAGAAAAATTAGCCAGGTGTGGTGTTGCACGCCTGTAGTCCCAGCTACTCAAAAGGCTGAGGTTGCAGTGAGCTATCATGACGTCAGTGCTCTTAGTCCCTGGCACTAGAGTGAGGCCCTGTGTCAAAAATAAATAAATAAATAAAATAAATCCTACATATCAGGTATTTTATCCATAAATATTTCAGAAAGTTTTTCTAGTGGAAGACTATTTTAGAAGCATAAACCAATAAAATCATCACACCTAGCAAAATTAATTTCTTACAGTTGTCTAATACCCAGTTCATGCTTAGTTTTCCCCAGTTGTTTTAAAATATCTTTTTACTGAATGGTTTGTTGCAGGCAAGGTCCACATCTTGCCTTCAGGATGATGTTTCTTTATCTCTCTTAATCGATAACACCCCTACTTGCAGCCCCCATGTGATATGGTTGTGGAAGAAACGTTTTCACTTCGCTGTAGGATCTCTCACATTCTAGAAGTCTGATTTTATAAATTGCTCCTTGAGGTTCGTGTGGAGAAACAAATTGGGGGGCTGGGGCCTGGGCAGGGAGACCAAGAAGGAGGCTACTGCCCAAGCCCCCCTGGAGAGGAAGAAGGCTGCACTGGGGGGGCAGTGGCGGAGGGAGAGGTGGGCTGATGCTGGGCGTTTAAAAGGTGGAGCGGAAGAATGGGTTGTGGGGATGAGGCAGAGAAAGCCTGGGTGGGAGGCAGGGCCCTGGGGAGACCCAGGCTTGGAGCCCAGGGACTCCCGGGTGTGGGTATCCTCAGAGAGGGAGGTGTCTGCACCCGATGGCGCTGACCCAGCCACCCCCCGCCCATGCAGGTTCCCGCTGAAGGATGGTCCCCGGCTGCAGGCCTGGCTGCGGCGCATGGGCCGTGAGCACTGGGTGCCCAGCTGTCACCAGCACTTGTGCAGCGAGCACTTCACGCCCTCCTGCTTCCAGTGGCGCTGGGGCGTGCGCTACCTGCGGCCTGATGCGGTGCCCTCCATCTTCTCCCGGGCGCCGCCCGCCAAGGTGAGCGCCAGGAGGTCCTACTGCCGGATCTGATCCCCAGCTCGCCCCTCCTAAGGGAAGTCCCTCCTTGAGTCTAAACCTCAGCCCTCCCCTCCGGACGGAAGTCTGGCCTTATGTGAGGGAAGTCCCCCTTGCAGACTGACGCCCCCCCCCAAACCTTACCCCCTGCGGAGCTCCCGGTTAGAATCCCGCCCTGATGCCCTCCATCCCATGCCTTGTCTTCCAGAGCCAGCGGGGTACCCGAAGCACCAAGAAGCGGGTTGTGCCGCCGCCTCCTCCTCCTCCGCAGGAGGCTACGCCCCAGCCCCCAGGCCGCGCCATCCCTGCGTCTGGCCCAGTGCACCTAGTGGTGCTGGGCCCCGCAGCGGGGCCCCCGGAGGCTGCGGCCACCGTGCTCCTGCCCCCACCTCCCGCTTCGCCCACTCTCGTGGGGCCACGGCCTGACGTCCCCGCCCAGCAGGCCGGGGCCGGGCTGGGCGCGGCGCTGGGGGCGCTGCAGCGGCGCGTGCGGAGGCTGCAGCGGCGCCACCAGCGGCACCAGGCGCAGCTGCGGGCTCTGGAACAGCTGGCGCAGCAGCTGCTGGCGCGGGCGCGCCGGGGCCCGCAGCGCGTGGTGAGTGCCCGCCGGTCCGGGCTGCCCCGCCAGCGGCCTGCCTAGCCCGCGCAGTTTTCATTTAAACTAGGGTCTAATATTTAAAAATCAGAGCATTTTATCCGTGTTTCGGAATATCGGGCTTTTCTTGAAAAAAAAAAAAAATCAATCTGGCAATGCCAAGCAGCTATCGGTTGGAGCTCAGTTATGGCTGCTCCATTTATTAATAGTTACATTTGAGGCGTTCTCACCATCAGCCAGACACAAGAGTTAATAACACGATCTTGATACTGCTGTTGTCTTCGTTTTTCCAGATAAAAAAACGGAGGCACAGAGTGGTTCAGCAACTTGCCCAAAGTCAGGCAGCCAGTAATTTGCAGGGTCTGGCTCCAGAGGCAGCCTGTGTCCTCCTCTCGGAGAGTTCCCTGCCTGGCCCGTATAGAGCTTGAGTTTGCCACCCTTGTACTAGTGTCTCTCGGGCCCTATCTAAAGCCCTTTTGCACCTATATTTTACTGCTGGGTCTTTGGGTCGGAGGGGGTGGTGAGGAGGGGTGTCGTGTCTTTGAAAATCAGTTTGAGCAAGCCTTTCCCCTGCTTAAAACCCCAGGGCCAAGCCTGAGGTCCCCAGCCTAGCAGCCTTGGCTCTCGGAACTATGGATGCTAGATTCATTGGAGGGGGTTCGGAAAGGAGCCCCCTCAGTACCTCTGTAGTTAACGTGTCTCAAGTTGACAGCCAATGGGTTGGACATGACCCATAGGTATGATTTGTTTGGCCTCAGCAATGCTTTAAAATAATTTTTGATCTTTCCAGAAGGCTCAGCAGATCTAGCAGCAGTGCGTTCATGCTCCCATGTGACAGCAGTCAGCTGGAGCTGCAACGGGGGCTTTAAGTTTGAGACTGGCACAGAGGGGCAATGGGGCAGGGACAGAGCTCAGACTCAGGCCTGGGGCTCTTCATGGAGCCTGCCAGGGCCCCTGGGCTGACAGTGTCTCTCTCTGCCTCCCTTCCGCCCTGTCCAATCCCTGTCTTCTGCTCATTCATCCTCTGTCTCTCAATCTCCCCCTGATCTTTCTGTCCGCACACCTGTTTCCCCATCTCCCTATGTCTCTCTTCATCTGCATCTTTCTGTGCCCCTCATATCTATGGCCCTGTCTCTCCACATCTGTCTGCCCCTGTATCTGTCACCCTATGTCTCTGTCCCCCCGCATTTCTCTTCCTGTTTCCCCATGTGTCTTTCTTCTCTCATGAATGTCTCTCTGGCTCTCACATCTGCTTCCTGGTCTCCCATATGTCTCTGTCCACATCTCTCTCTGTTTCCGGACACCCCTCTTCCACCTGGGCCTCCCCGTTCCTCCTTTATTTCCATCTCTCTCCCCCTTCACTCCCTCGTGTTCCCCATCTCTACCACCTTGTTGCACGGGATGGCCCAGCTCCCCGGACCTGAGGAATCCCAAACCTTCACCATCATCTGTGGAGGGCCTGGCATAGCCGTGGTCCTTGCCCAGGGCCCTGCACCTCCAACAGTGGATGCCAAGCCTGAGCTCCTGGATACTCGGACCCCCAGTGCATAAGGATAATGTCAAGGGACAGAAGATACAAGATGGAAGAAGAGAGATTCATCACACAGGGGCTTGGCCAGCCCCACCACCCATGCCTGGGGAGGAGCAATGCCTCCCTCAAAGGCCTGGGCTCCATGACCCTCCTCCTAGAGACCCCTTGAACCTTAGGGGTGACCTGGGCCCAAGTCTTCCATCAGCCCCCAATTCTCTGGGTACCAGGCCCCTTGACACCCCTAGCTCAAATCTTTGCAGTCAGTAAAACACCTCAGGGCAGAACACGGGTTGGTTACTTGGGGAGGGTTGTACCTGGTATCTGAAGAGCCCCTCTCACCTTTCCCCAAGGCTGGTGCTCAGCTGGGGGCACCGCAGTGAACAAGGATGAACAGCATCCCTGCCCTCCTGGTGCTCACCTTCTACCTGAGTGGGAGATGAACTAGTAAACTAATAAACGAGATAATTTCAGACTGTGATAAGTGCTATAAAGACTGAATAAAAATGTAATTGAGAGGACGGGTGGGGAGAGGGCTCTCTAAGGCGATGTTCCAGCAGAGACCTGGGATGATGACAAGGACCTGGCTGGAAGCCATGTGGGCCAGTGTTCCAAGAGAAGAACAGACCTGCAGAGGGCCTGGCATCTAGGGGGTGTCGGAAGGCAGTGTTGCGGTGGAGAAAACTACAGAAGGGATGGGAGTGAGGGGGTAGAGATGGGGATGGGGGCAGGGTGCCATTTTAGATAGAGCAGAAATGTCACTGAAAAGGCGCCAATAAGTAAAATCCTGAAAGAGGGGAGAGAGGGAACTATGTAGGTGTCTGGGGGAAGAGCATTCCAGGCAGAAGGAACAACCAGTGCAAAGGTCCTGGGGTAAGGAGCAAAGAGGCCAGTATGGCTGGAGTGGAGCGAACAAAGGGGAGAGCGAGGTGGGGTGACCATGGACAGACGGCAGGGGCAAGTCCCCATAGGGCCTTGTGGGCCGTGGTCGAGAGCCTTGGCTTTTGCCTGGAGTGAGGCAGAGCAAGCAGATGCCCCTGAGTCAAGGAGGGCCCTGATGTGAACAGGTGTCAACGGGTCCCCGTGGCAGCATGTAGGGAGCTGACTGGGGGGAGGGGGTGGACAGGGGAGAGGCTGCTGCCATGGTCTAGGTGGGAGAAGATGAAAGATGGACCAGGATGAGGGCCTGGGGTGGGGGTGAAGGATCGAATTCTGGAAGTATTTTGGAGACAGAGCTACTGGGCCTGCCCATTAGAAGGATGTGGGGAGGAAGGCAAAGTCACCCAGCCCTATTCAGACTGGGATGACTCTGGCCAAACGAGGATGATGGAGCCAGGACCCTGGACCGGCTCCAGGAAGCTTTCCTGGGGGAGATACATGTTCTGACAGGGTAGGAAAGGTCCGTGGGCAGACCTGTCCCCTAGGCACTGCTACAGCGATGTAGCACGGTGATTAAGAACCAGACTCTACAGGCTGCCTGGTTTCAAGTTTTAGCTGTCACCCACTTGCTGTGTACCCTTGGGCAAGCGGCGTAACCTCTCTGGGCCCAAGTAAGCAAGCATGTGAGCACTGCATGATGACGGCGAGGATGACGACGACGATGAGAGGAGTCTCTACAAAATCACCCTCTGAGGGACACCCCTCGTATAGGGCGAGCGTGGAGAAGGTGTCAGGTCTGAGGTCCCAGAGAGAGGACACGCCCATCACCACCTGCCCTAACAGCAGGCCTGGGGAAGGCTCTGGCACAGCGGGGATGGAGAGAAAGATGTGCCCGCTCTCCCATCCCTCCCTTTTTGCCCTCGTCTCTGCTTCATCTCGCTCCTTCTGTCGCCTCGTCTCGCATCCTTCTCCACGGCCATCTCTTCTTCCTCTCGCGGTCCCGAGTCTATCCCCTTCGCCGCGCTGCCTCCCACAGTCTCCGCCCCCGCGCCCAGTTGGGGGTAACAAGGCGCATGCGCGGTCAACGCCCCTCCCTCTCCACCCCCATCCCCCGTTGGCGTCTGGGCCTGGTCCCCTTCTCTCTGTCTCCCGCTCCTCCTCAATCACGTCCCCCGACACCGACACCCCATTACTCCCGCGGCCTCCTAGTCTCAGCTGTGGTCCCCAGCCCCCGTGTACCCCAGGTAAGATGGGAAGAGGGGAGGCCCGCGGGGAAGGGGAGGGGCGAAGCATCCTGCATCCCGAGATAAACAAACCCGAGGAGGGGGCGGCGGAGACGGAGGGGCCTGACGGGCCTGACGCTGGAGGAGAAGAATGGGGGGCTGGGCCAGGGGAGGTGGCAGGCGCTGGGCGAACGTACAGGGGTCCTCTGATGGGTAACGGGGGTCCCTATGGTTGCCCAAGATCCAGTTGCGCCAGGGCCATCCGGGGCCCTGGGAGCTTCTGGGGACTTGGACCCTGGAGCCTGTGGCCAACCTCTCTAGCTGACCTCTGCCTTCAGGATTTGCCTGAAGGCAGCCCCCAACTCTGCATCTGCCCCCCCGAGGGCCACCAAGGACCATGACTAAGACAGATCCCGCCCCGATGGCCCCGCCGCCGCCCCGAGGGGAGGAGGAAGAAGAGGAGGAAGAGGATGAGCCCGTCCCTGAGGTCCCCAGCCCCACCCAGGAGCGCCGGCAGAAGCCTGTTGTGCACCCCTCGGCACCTGCCCCCCTCCCTAAGGACTACGGTAACCACTGTCCCCACCCTGGAATCTAGTCTGAAGCCTTGGGTGGCCTGGGAGGGTGGGCTGAGTTCTGTTGGTGATGATGATAGGGGAATTCTGGGGAACTGGAAGGTGGTCCATAGGAGTCTTGGCTGCAGAGCCCTTGAAACCCCCCTTCATTAATTCATTTACCCATTGGAGAATGGAATTGTAATTCTAATCTCTGATTCATGACACATCATTTAGTCATTCAACAAACGTTTATTGAAAGCCACTATGGATCTCGCTTTATGCTAGCAGCTGGGGCCACAGCAGGGAGCAAGACAGTCTTTGCCCTGAGAGAACTCACAGGCCTCAATAACAACCACGCAAGTATAAAAGTATAATTTAATGTAAATATATAATTACAAAACATGATAAGAATCGTGTTTACCAAGAACAAGATGCTGCAAGAGCTTTTTAAGACATAGTTTGCCCGAGGAGGTCACGTTTGCGGGAGACCGGAGGGTGGGTTGAGGTTAACTAAGGGAACCACTGGAGAGGTGACCACAGGAGTAAATGGTCTGAGGAAGGAGGGTGTGGAGCTAAGTGTGTGGCCTCTTGGAGAAACTGAAAGTGTCCAATCATTTACTAAGCAATATTTATCGAGTGCTACCACTCTGGGACGCGCCTTATGCTGTGTGATGGGGATTTAATGGTAAGTGACCCAGGCATGATTCCTGCTATCAGGAGAGGAGAGACTAAACAAGTGAACAGATAAGTAAATCAGGTAAGTTCAGACTGGAGTGAGTGCTATGGAAGAAATAAAAGGTGGAAATGTAATGGTTAAATGTGTAGGGGTCAGCTAGTTGAGACAAAGTAGCCAGGGCAGGTCTTTCTGACAAGGTGGCATTGTCAGCTGAGACCCAGAGCGTGAGGAGGAATCAGCCATAGGAGAGCTGGAGAAAGAAAGTTCCAGGCAGACAGCAGCAAGTGCAAAGGCCCTGAGGCAGAACTGAGCTTGGAACAGAAAGATCATGGAGCTGCATTTAGGAAGTGAGCAGAGTTAAGGTGAGAGGTTGGCATGGGCCAGATCTGGAAGGGCCTTAAAGGCCACAGTTAAGGTTTGGGGTATATTTTAAGTATGATGGGGGAGAGCGGTGGTGGAGGAGGGTGTTTAAAAGCAGAGGAGTGGCAGTCTGATTTATAGTTTTAAAAGCTCCCTCTGGCTCCGGGGTAGCGAGGAATGGAGCGCAGCCAGAGTCAGATGTAGCAGGGGGATTTTAGAAGACGCTGGCTGGGAAGCTCCAGCAGCTGTGAGGTTCAGAAACCAGGCACTAGGTTCAGAGAGTAGGCATTGCCAGAATAGGGCAGGAGAGGTGGCATCTGTGGACGTGTCATCCACTAGAGGTGGATAGAGAGACTACAAGTTGACCTCAGTCTGATAGAAAAACAAGAAGGTTATCTGGGGACCTGTGGAATGGGGGTGTCTGCCCCAGGAAACTGGAAAGTCTCCTTTGGAAATGCAGCTGGAGGTGGCTGGAGCCTGTGGCTCAGGGCAAAGTCAGAGGGTCTAGGCTGGGCCTTCCAAGGAATCCTGCCTCTAGAACAAGGAGGGTTGGTCACAGAATGTGAAGGAATCTGGAAGTACAGTCTGGGACAGAGAGAAGGCTAAGAGGGACACCGAGAGGAAATGGTGTATCTGTTTGTTAAATTTGTACATTAATTCGACAGAGATTAACTGAGCACCTACTGCGTGCCAGGTGCTGTGTCCAGCCTTGGGAATAAGGGAATGAACCGGCAGAACAGAAAGGTAGTGTTTACATCCTAATTAGGGCAACAAGTGAGAAAGGAAGAAAAAGAAGAGAAAGATGGAGGAAGAGAGGAAAACAAGGAGGGAGAAAGGGAAAGAGGAGTAAACGTATTATGTGAGGTTGTGATGGGTGCTATGGTCACAAAAAAATAGAGTAGGAGATGGAAAGGGGCGGGGTGCTGACTTCCACAGGGTGACCTCTCTGAGGGGGTGACACTTGAGCAAAGACCTGCAAAACCTTATGAAGAGCTGAGGGAAGACTGTCCCAGGTGGGAAAAACAGCAAGTGCCAAGACCCTGAGGCAGGAATTTGCCTGACACGTTGGAGGGACAGAGGGAGGCCAGTGCAGCTGGAGGGAGATGAGCGACAGGGAGGGCCAGAGGGGCAGGGCCTGGGGGCCACGGTGGGGCCTTTGTATTCTGAGTGGGATGGGAGCCAGGGGAGGGTTCTGAGCCAAGGAGGGTTATGGCATGAGCGAGGTTTTGAAAGGAGCACACAGGCTGATTCCTGGAGACTCCTTCTACGTGGCGCTTCCCTGGGCTGTGTGTCATCTGCTCGTTCATTCACTCATGCATTCCACACACACTGAGTTCCTGCCACGTGCCAGGCCCTGTGCTGGGTGCCCATGTTGCCGCAGAGAGCAGCACTCATCCGAGGGCACTGGGGGGGACAGAAGTGACTCTGCCTGGCCGCAGGTTGGATCCCGCTCATGCATACATTTCATGTGGTCTGCGCGGCATTTGAAAAATTTGAGAGAGTTTTATTAAAAGCAGGACTTCTGGCTTATTTATTTATTTATTTGTACTCTGGAGATTGGGCCAAACTGTGCCCGTACCCTCACCGGGGAGCGGTGGGCCAGCGCGGTAGCAGCCCCCTTGGACACGCGGACTCCGAGGCCTGCACCGGCCACCACACTCTTGTTTCAGGGCGTGGAGTTTGCTGTTCTGTGGGAATTGCCCGGTCGTCCGATTTTCCAAGACGCCCCGGGCATCCAGATTTTT